TTGCCCTGATTTCATACTCTCTCCTTTCCATAGGAAGGGGAAAAAAAAATACATAAAAAACAACTTTCAAGACATCTCTTAGTATTTACCTGTAGCCTGGTACCTCTTGTCCTCCTCTTTAGAGAAATGAAAGCTCATAGATAAATATGCCAGATAAAAAGCAACAGGCTAATATACAAATTGCTTATCATAATTCACTGCTTTTCATGGGGATAGGCCATATCATTTGCACCTGCTAAAAAATCTAAGTTTTAAAACAGTCCACAGCAGACTAGAACTTATAAGCTATCCAACTGCACCACCTAGCTTCACAATCTTCAGAGTCCTATTTTTTTGTGGAACCAGTGTTTATATTCCTTGAAGGTGAATGCTTCTTCCAGTATCAGACCTACTCATCTGCTGTCTCACCACTCATACTACAAACAATTCAACAGCTCTGAGATATTCAGAGTTCAAGAAACATGTTGTCTAAAAAAGTGTTGTATTGGTGTTCACAGGAGTGTAACAGAGCTACTTTATTTACCCTTCTATTCTTCTATGTTATGCAGACTGGTGTGACCTTCCAGTCCACAAATACTTCCTATAACTCATGTCTACATTTACCAAAGCCTGGCAGGATCTGATGTTGGTTTGATTCATTACTGAGTGGAGCATCATCATTTAAAACAAACCTCAGTACATACAAGCTCCACCACTTATTGGTTCTGTGTTTAGGAAGTTAAAGTCTTCCTTGGTCACATTTCTGGCCATATTTTCTACTCTAGGGATGTTAAAACAGGTTGCTTGTGATCTCTGACTTCAGTCAAAGTTGTCCTAACTTTTAAATGAAAACTGGCCCATTCCCATTGAGTTTCATTCTGACAAAAGCACATTTTCTGCAGTTTTTGAACTTTAGTATTGGGAAATAAAATAGCAGACTCTGCGTACCTCTGTTGGGTAAATGCACCATGGCACAGTTTTTAATTACTTTCTGACCTCACCTAGCTTCGATGCTCTGAAGAGTGAAAGCAGAACAAAGTAGCTAAGCTTTACCTCAACTTCAGACTAAATCATCATAGAATCATAGAGTGCTTTGGGTTGGAAGGGACCTTAAACACCATTTCGTTCCAACCCACCTGCCATGGGCCTGGACATTTTTCACTAGCCCAGGTTGCTCCAATCCCCATCCAACGTGGCCTTGAACCCTTCCAGGGATGGGGCAGCCGCAGCTTCTCTGGGCAACCTGCTCTGGTGTCTCACCATCTCCACAGGAAATAATTTCTTCCTTAAGGCTAATTCAAATCTACCCTCTTTCAGTTTAAAACCACTACCCCTCATCCTATCACAACGCTCCCTGATAAAAAGTCCTCCCCATTTTCCCATAGGCCCCCTTTAAGTACTGGAAGAACAATATAAATATGGCTACTGTAGTCCTCTTAGTGTCCAAGCTGGGCCACAGTCCTTTGTAACATATTTGCACTGTGCCTCTGAAGACAGAAGACCCAGAGAAATTCACACATTAAATCTACAGTATATACATTACATTCTCAGTTCTAATTCAACCAATGTATGTAACCAGGAAAATGAGACAGAACATCAGTTCATTAGTTTCTTGGAGGCTTCACAGCCTGTTTGTAAGGTGTCGTGTGGCCCTTCTTTTCTCTTTTCTCTCCCTCCTAAATTGGTACTTCTTATCAAGTCCCTAGACCTACCCTAGAATAAAAGTTATATCCCTCTTTCATATAAAAGCTGTGGATAGAGCACAGTAATTCTCTTGGTGATGACACCTCATTTAATATGGTTTTAGGGCATGGTAAAACTTAGCAGTGGCTAAGCTGCTGAAAGCCACTGAAACGCTATCCTTGCCAAGTTGCACTACTAACTTCATTACTAACTGAACTTAAACTAATACAAAAAGCATGAGTACAAAAAGATTTCCTTAATCTGAACACAGCCATGAAGACAATCAAAAAAAAGGAAGGTTTGTGCTCTTATTTTGACAGGACACACTATAAGCTAAATGTCACAGCAAGCTTGTCAGCCCACAGAGTCAGTACCCTCTTCTGCACCGCTTCCTTTTAAAAAGATTATTAAGATGTTTTACAATGGCATAAGATATTAAATCTATTTTACATGCGTCACACAATTTCACTCTGTTTCACTCTGTTTCTGCCAGCATCCAGAACATCCTCATACAGGAGCAATTTTGGCAATTGTGTTTTGTTCTTTAATATTATTTGATTGCTGCTAGGCTTCATCAGATATTCCCTAGAGATGGAACAAAGTGGTACATTATTTAAGAGCCTTGGGCTACAACCTTTGCTCATACAACAACAGTAACAAATACACTATGTCCACTCTCATAGGCAACGTTACGAGATCAGGCTGTGAATCTCAGAGCTGTGCAAGGCAAAAAATAATTTCACACATACACAGTATGGAATTAACTTTAAAACTGCTTCTGGGCTTGACACAAAATACTCTCCTTTCTGGATTACCTAATTCAATTATATGCCATGCTTTTTCATATTTTCAGGGCTCTAACTTCATTCTCTAATGTGATCCAAGGTATTCCCCCAGTATGCTTTCCTGAGAACTGATTTGTCCTTAAACTCAGACTTATACTTTTGTCTGAGGCAACACTCTTTCAATATCAGACAGAAGAATTATAACAATAAATACAGCTTTTAATTCAGAGCAGCACCATCTTCTGTGCTGGGGTATCTGTTAGAAGATGCCACAAAGATAGCAGCAAGATAGTGGCAATGATGGCTGAAAACAACATAGCATAATCCACAGAGTAGGAAACAGGGCAGCTAAGAGTGAGCAGAAAGACGTAGAGCAACAGGAGACAAACTGCTAGAATTATTCAGATGGTAAAAGCCATGACTGAATACATCTAGAAAATGGCTGCTCTGGAACAGTAACTTTAGCTCCATATGAGGGAAAAAAGAAAAGAAAAAATTAAAAACGAGTAGCTGCAGAAACCACTTTAATCCACTATGAAGACAAAGCACCTAGGGGTTACTACAAACTAATCCAACCACAACCCAGAGAAACTGGACTGCCAGGTGTGAACTAGATTGTATTTTGACAACTGCCAGGTGTGAACTAGATTGTATTTTGACAACAGCCAGTGTCAGGCATTTAAATGGAAGCTGCAAAAAATTCCACAGTAGAAGTTTGGCCTACAAGCACTGGAGGAAACGTCTTTGTAGATGTTGTGATGATAGAGCAGAAGTTGTATCAATTCAATAGTGGCAAAAAAATCCAAAAAAAGCAAACATTGAAAAAGTTGCAACAAATAAGCAATTTCAGGCTATAAAACTTTTGACAAAAAAAAAAAAAAACCTTTTAACAAACTTTCTTTAGTTCCTAGAAAAAGGAACTTAATTCTGTGTGTGGCAAAACAACTTGTCACCTTTACCTTACTTTCAGACATATGTTCCTGAGAAGGCAGCACACCTCAGCATTTTCTCACATGAGCCACTGGCAAAGCTCTTTCTTACCATTCTGAGGAACATGACTGGAGTTGTCCTGAATCAGCATGGCTTAGATAAGCTTCCCTCATGTATGAACAAATTTTGCAAACCTGTGGCTGTCATCCATAACCCTATTTCTGTTCCCTTCCTCCTCACTCTAATATTCATGGACAACTGTCTAGCTTGAAAGAACTTCACTTACTCTGAAGCAGAGTAAATCAACTCCTGGCTGACAACCTCCAAGCTGGGATTTTTACTCTTGTATAAAAGATGGTGATGGGCCATTTGTTCCCTTTGTCTTTATAGATACAAGAATTCTGTGAACAGAGTGATGTTGCTGCCCTGGTAATTTTCAGATATATTCACCTCCTTACCCTTCACGATGCTTTTTTTTCACATTCAGTCATTATCAGGCAGACTGGGCATCTCTCAGAATCCTTGTACAGACCCAAAGCACTAGAATTCTTCCATAGACTGATGATACTGCTGGTATCATCACACACGTGGCTGCAAAGATAACTCTCATCTTTGGAAATCAGGGTGATGCAAAGAGCAGAGTGAAAACAAAGAATGTCAGTACACAGCGTCAGGAAACTGGATTGTGCTTGATGGCTCAAAAGAGCGCTTTTCCAAAAGATTCAAAGTTGTGGTTTTATTAGATGTAACATAAAACCAGAGCAGAGGATTCTGTGGAAATAACTATGAGAAAGTTCATTGCTGCACAGTGAAATAACTGTAAAGCCATTTTGCATGGATTTTAGTAATGTCTAGCCATAAAGACACCATTACTTTCACCAGTGTCCTGGTTTGGGCTGAAATAGAGTTAATATTCCCTTTCAGGGACTAGATGAGTGCTGTGTTTTGGATTTAGCTTTGGGGTTGGTACGGGAAGAATGCTGATAGCACACTGGGGTTTTCAGCTGCTACCGAGACTCCAAGGACTCTCCGACTCCCCATGTCCTGCCCGTGCGCAAGGGCACAGGGAGCAGGGAGGGAGCACGGCCACAGCACCTGACCCAAACTGGCCAGTGAAATATTCCATATCATGGAACGTCATGCTCACTGTATAGAGGAGGGGTGGCTGGGAAGGAGCTCTCTCTCGCTTCCGGGATTGCGATTGTGGGATCTTGGTATCTCGCGGTCGCTGGCCGGGAACGGGCTGGGGATCGGTCAGCGGGTGGTGAGCAATTACGCTGTACATTGACTGTTTATATATTTCTTTTTCTTCCCTATCGTCGTCATTGTTCTCGTTTTATTGCCATTATTAACCTGTTCTTATCTCAGCCTGCGAGTCTCCCTTCACCCCTCTAATCCCCTCCCCCATTCCCAGGTGGGGAGGGGGAAGGGAGGATGACCAGCTGCGGGGGTTGGTTGCCCATCAGGCCCAAACCACGACAACTGGATGAAACCTAGCAAAATTTGTATGGATGACAATGCAGAAAAACAACAGAAGTTTATCGGAGAAAAAAAGGTAACTTTCCTCTGAGTTTCAAGAGTGGAATATTTTGTTGTAGACATTCAGCCAAACTCACTCAAAAATAATTTATTCTGATTTATTGAAAGTTACAATTCAGAAATGTGCATTACTATGGTATTACCAAGAAACAGTTGTTCATTTCAGATTAGAAAGGAATGACATAACATGTAATTTTATTTAGAAATAACATATTTCTGCAAATGACTATGCACAGCAAAACAAGATTAGTATGAATCACATTGTTCAGTATTATTTCATTCAAAATCACCCCTTCTAGTAATTTAGTTCAATTATAAAACCCTTAAATATACTATAGATATAAAATATACTATATGATGTTCCTTGCAGACTGTGGCATAGAAGTGTTGCACTATTGCCGTTTATGGAAAAAGCATTTACCTTCTGATTTACAGACCATGTTATTGTTACCGAATGACAGAAGTCCATAGGATGGGCAGCAGCAACTGCAGGTTAACTCTGTCTTATAAAGGTGGTCTCAGAAGTCATTAGGAAGCACTGATACACTGTGGCACTGAGCATACAACTAGAGAGATCAGAGGTAACCTTTTCTTTTTAAATCATCATTTAAAAACCAGCATAATTATCTCCTTACAGATGAACTTTTGATGCTTCGGTAGCTTCAAGGAAAGTCCCCTGGATCCGTTCTCTGGACACTGCTCAACTCTGATATGGTCATTCCTGAGCTCATATACTAATAGCAACCCTAAATGCATATCCATGAACTAATGTGCAACTTCATGGGAAATGGAGAAAAAGCAGAAAATACAAAGAGGAAAGGAAGACAGAGTACAACTGAACAACAGATTTTCACCTTCTCAGAACCAGAAAGTATTAAGTAACTGTCTACACTGTCAGCATAGATTTATCCTACTGCTATCAGCATTAAAAGCATTAAAACAAAGACATGTGAAACAAGCAAAATCATGTGAACCTTGTTTTGAAATATCTGCTACAACATCTGCTAGAATTAAACCAACTGTATGAAGTCTGATCTCCATGAAAACATTGACAAACCATGGAAGAAGAGGAAAGTAGTTTCAAGGGTACTTAAAAGCATCTCAATTCATAATTATCTTCTCTGCACTTCTTCACACATGCTTAGGGGCATTTTAACTACTTGGATTTGAGGTATGAATGGGCACAGCAGAAGCTACCTTTTGTAAGAGGTGGGCCGACATGTGGCTGGGTGCTGTGCTTGACTTTAAACCCTTTCTGAGTAGTGGGCACCTCTGGGCCACATGGGGCAATATCCACATAGATCCTCCTCTGTCACAGGGGCTACTTCTAAAGCATGATTGATAACCAGCCTAGTGATGCTCGATTCCAAATCTGTGGGACTGGCCCAGGGCATAGCCAGGGGTCATCAGTCATCTCAGCGTACTTCTCTGAATATAAGCTAATGCTGCCCAGAAGACAGTGTCCACACTTCCTGCTGAAAGGTGTACTTGGATCCCAGACCCCAAAGTGAGTCTCCAGGCTTTCCATTCTGAGATGGTGTCTCTCCTGTCACATAACATATTTGCAAGCCAGGTTAAATAATCCACAGTAACAAATCTGTGATAGCACCAACTTGTTTTGTCTAGTTCTGTGCTCATGAAGCAGCATGTAGAGGCACCTGTCATACCTCCAATAGCATCATACTCTGTTTTAACAACTGGTTGGATTAGTAAGTCTTCAGGAAGGGAGGACTCTGACACAGCATTGTCTGCATCTGAATTGGATGAAGTATCATCTCTGTCTTCAAGGTCTCTATATAAAGAAATTCCCCTTTCCACAGCTTCCAGACAATGGTCAAGTTTTTCCCAGACAGGTACTGCTGCATGGGGGACCATGTGTTGCTATAGTTTCTTCACATTAGCCTGACAGCTTTTAACACAGGCAGGGGCTAGAGTCTTCTCTATTGCAGCCCGTTTCCTGCTGGGTGTGGGCCAGTTCTTTTCGTAGGTAGTCAACTTGGGCTTGGGCTGCTTTCAAACACTGCTCAGTATCTCTAAGGAAATGAGCTACGAGATATAAGCAGGGTAATTCTCCCTTCATATTACTGTCTTTCTGATTTTCTCTAATCAAAGTAGAATCTGACATGCGGGGCAGGGCAAGGTCCCCAAATATTCAACTAGGGCACCCACTGCAGGGTCAGGGCTGGTCATGATGCAGTGCACTGTATCCCACTTCTGACACCAGAGTGTAAGGGCTTAAGGAAGCCCTAACAAATTACAGGTTCAGGATATGTTAACAGACACCAGACCACAGCTTCAGGGATAAACACTTTGTCTCTAAATAACAGTACTGAAAAAAATATTGATCAGTACAATTATCTGGGCCGTAACAACAGCAAGCCAGGTAATACTGGGCTAGACCTAACGTCTGGGCATGCAAAGACTTACATGACCATGGCTGTCAGGCAGGCAGCAGGTCAGGACCTCTTCTTCAGACAAGTGGCCCAGACCAGCCGACGACCTTGGGGAATGCAAATTCCTTGGCTGGACTGTCCTTCTTTATCAACCCGCAGAAGCACTATTTGGGCTTGTTAACTAAACATGACACCCCACCTCTGCCGCCCCTCTGTGCCAGCTCTGTCCTGGCTGTGCATGCAGCCCGGGAATCCTGTAGAAGGTGATATCGCCTCACACTCCTTTGTGGGCACAGGCCTGGAAGTATCATATAAGGCGATATGAGCCTCCTAGCTCCACTGTACGCACCATCTCCAGAAATACTGTATTAGGCAATACTAGCCTTACTAGAACACAGTTAGTCTTGCAAAGGCAAAAACAACTGTTTAAGTATGGAAGTCATGGCACAGAATGCAAGAATGAAAACATAGGGTACTCTGAACTGTGTGAATATTCTTAGCAGACATGGAAAACATGGAAGCATGGAAAAGTACAGACTCAGAAGCAGATGACCAAAAACATAGGGCTGAGAGTGAGCAGACTGAATTTATAGTACACTATATTAACAACTAAGGAGAAGCCAAATAAAACAAAACAATAGTAGTATAGAAGAAGAAAGAAACTGAAAAAAGAGGTATAGAGAGAAGGCACAAAGACTACATTGAAAGATGAAGAAAGTCGTACTTTTAGGTTTTTTTTTGAAAGAAATAAAAATCTTCTAATAATGCCTAAGTTAGCAAACAAGAGTAGAATTTGGCAGCAGGCCTCTAAAAGACTGTTTCAGCTCGCCAAAGTGTAAGTACCTTTAAAAGATGAAAAATAACTGAAACTGGAAATACTGCTAGACCAAGACACTATCTAAAGTCTCAATGCCCCTTTCACTTATATATTTAAATTAAAATTTTACATTCTCCAGTTGCCCTGTTGTTTGTATGAATATATCCTCCTCTCTTGCACTGTGCGTACAGAAATTCAACAAACACTTATGGAATCTTTCAATATATTTGGAGACATCTATTCTCAATTTTTTTATTTTATACAAGCTACAATATTAATTAATATTACAGTGGTTTCTCATATATTTTGCTGTTTCAATAAAGCTTTAAATGTAAACTATATTTAAGTTGTCTGATGCGCTATTTTAAACCCACGAAAACCTTGTATGTGGTCCATTGTTTCAAACTTAATTTTGAACTTAACCATGTTTTTAAGTATCAACTGTACACTACTGTAAAAAAATAATTCAGTCAAAAAGAGGCTGGTGAGTAATGTTGTGACATTTGTTAAGACAAGGAAATACTGAACCCAGAATAATTCCCTCTTATTTTTCCAACGCTAGCTGCACAGCATGGCTAACAACCTCAGGAGCTTGTTGCACCACCTTCTTCCTCATCTTTATATTATAGACACACTGCTAGTTCTAGTAGTTATAGATTATATTTCAACAACCACAGCTAAATAAGAAAAATCAAAAGGAAGGTAATATTTAGTATTAAGTGTACTAGTTCTTCCACAAACTACAAAGGAAAGCCAGTACTGTAACAATACAATGCATATAGAGAGCTTTTCCTCTACCATAAAAATGGCAAGTAATGCATGAAATAACTACCTCTATCACATTACTTGACATGCTCAATCAGTTGATTTTTTTCCTGACAAAGGAATACGGTCCCAAAGCTGCAGCAACTGCTCTCCAACTTGTGGTTCCAGCTCCTAGAAATTAGCAGGAAATTAGAGAAGTCATTTGCCCTGCTACTGTTGAACATATAGAAACTATTTATAACAAAATTGTTAGATTAAGTTATTAGTGACTGCTTTCAGTCTTTCTGAAAGAACTCATTCCTTTTGTTATTGAGACACACATTTGAATTCCCCACACTATATGGGTTTTTTGCTAGAGCTTAAGAGGAGATAAAAATTTTCATATGCATCCCTGGCCTACAAGTTGTTGGAGGCTTTTTTTCATTCACAGTAAGACGTCAGTTCTTAAGAATAGAATTATGAGTGAACACATCACCACCATATACAAGATCATATACATCATATACTTTTTACCTTCCACAGGTCACTTAGTAACTAAAGTTCATTATTCTCCACATCCCTTGAGTTTCATTTCCTCAAGTATGGTGGAGAATGTGGAAAGGCAGGTCACAGGTAATACAGTGACTGTCAGTGGAATCACAGATACTAATATAAACCAGTTGGTTTTGAGATTGCTAAGACTCTTTAGATCTTTAGAGAGACTTAAAACAGGAGCATGGTTAGCTCCATCACGTGTTATGTTCCCTTCCCCGTTCTTACAGTATGTTCTTTCACTCATTCTTACATCTGGGGAGTTTTGGGGGAAGTAGTAATAAGATGATACAAAAAGGTTAGCTCTAGAATCTCAGATCAAGGAGATATTTTGGGAGCAGGACTGGAGAGAACGCTGAAACTGCCACAGAGAACTCTTGTGCCAATACTCTTCCAACTTTTTGTAGTTGCATTCAACTTCAACAGATTGGAGAACTGTCTTAAGCTTTATTCTACCTCAAATCTCTTCAGGCTTTACAGAAAACTCATAGCTATAATTATGAATGGCTATTTGGGTGTGACAGACTATCTTGGGTAACAAATCTGAACCAAACAAGGAACAAATATCCAGAACCAAAATTACAAATTCCAAAAAGCTTTTACTATTGGAAGCATCCAGCTTTACATCTTTTTTTTTTTTTTTATATACATATTAAGGAAGAAACTGCTTTGATTTTATCAAAAAGCCTCCATTACTTCAACCATAATGCATTAGCAGAATGTACAATGTGCACCAGCAAACTGTCACTCAGATTAACAGATATATGAGGACAGTTGAGATAAATGTCAAGGCTAAGCAAGCTAATAAACAATACACAGTCCCAACAAGTAAAGAAGATTTTAGAAGAGAGTAACGTTACCTGGCCATCTCTGCTTATTTGTACTTTCTTATTGTCATTCCAAGGGTTGAGCAAATGATATGCAAACTGAAAAGGAATGCTTTCTTTTCGGATCCACTCCACCTTAAATACACCTCCCAAACCAGCAGATCCCCAGTCTTGACTTTTCTCACACCCTATCTCTGAAGCCATTCTAGCAAAACCCTGGAGTAAAAATTCAAGTATGAAAGGAAAGACATAATTAGAGTATACCTGCTTACAATGGAATTAATTAAAGACTGGACTTCATATGAAACTTTCAAATTAGTTTAAAAGTGATTCACACGCTCTCCCTCATGAAGCTGGATCTTTTAAAATGTTTACATCTGGAAAGTTGAAAGTAGTATAAATTGTTTCTCCATTTCAAATATGCTTTCTAAAGTGTGACCACAGAGAATGTCTTTCAATTAATCTCTCACAATTACAAATTTTTTAAGCTTTGTAACAGAGGCTGAAAAGTTGTTGTAAAAACATTTGAAGGGAAAGGAATCAAGATGAACATTCCACTATGTAACAGTCCACTAGCTATTCCTTGTTAGTTTTAAGTATTATTTGAAGAAATCCATTCCTTCCTTCCCATGTTCCCTCTATGTTAACAAACTTTCATAAAGAATTAAGAAAGAGTAGGTGTTCTTCAAAGAAAGAAGTCAACTCTGCTTTTATTTCCTTCTTCAACAAAGCCAGAAGAAATTCCAACATGACAAGTAATCAGAAAGAAAATGGAAGAAATCCCAAGATTGCTTCTACCTTAAGGGCTCTGCTACTTGCCCACGCACCAAAAATAACAAAACAAAAAACCCTACCACACACACAATTTATCGACTATTCAGGCAAATTTATGACAGTTACAACTTAGCAGTACAAGAGATGCAGTGCACTTCTTAAGTTGCCAGGACACACTAGTGTGGTAAGCCATGCAGTCCTACATAGCTTAAGCCAGACTTAAATGAAAATTAATAAAAGGAACAGAGGAAAAATAAAGGTGGCAAGTAAAGAGCCACTTGGTACTAGAGACTATTAATGGGAATGTCAATCTCACACTCTGATGAATGTTCACTGTCAAAACTGGAACAGCAAGGTAACATCAACCACCTACACTCCTGACTTCAGCATGTCTTCCCCTCTAAGCTTTCTCATCTAAGAGCACCAATACAACAGCCCATTTTCAGTATCAACTGGCAGACTGAAAATTACTTTCCAACATTAAATCTGCATTTGCCAAATCATCATATGTACATGTCACCATAATCCTTCAGTGGAATCACAAGACAGCTGTATTTGGGCTAGTTCATTAGATTTTCAGTTTAGCTGACTTTTATGAATAGTTTATATATAAAGAGGTAAGTTGAACATTTTTTACCTGGAACAACAGAGTTTAGCCCACTCTACAACACAGCTAACCTGCAGCTTTTCACTACCGGGTCAAGTCTTTAACTTCAAATTTGCTACAAATTTGTCAACAAATTGTTGACAAATACCTTGCTAAACCTGAAGTCAAGACACAGCTCTGGAAGAATCATTGCCATGACTTTCCAGCTTCCTATCTTTTAGAAACTACGTTTCAGGCAAAACAAATTTTATTAAAATTTGTAATAGACATTTATGAGTTTCCTAGTTTTGGAAAGCTATGACTTTGTTAAAACTGCTTGTTCGCTTACAGTATTTATTTTGGCATGCAGAGAAAAGAATAGCAATCCCAGCTTTGTTTGGATTTGTTTGTTTTGTTGTTGTTTTAAAGGATTAAGGTAGGGTATAAACATTATTCTGAGTCAGAATGTTTAGAGACAATTCAGTCTTAGCCTTTGAGTGACAAACGCAGTTAGCTAAAAGAGCATATTTCAGAGAATGAAGTACCCTTTACTCAACAACCAGACACTGTACCTATTAGAAGGTCAGAAGTCATAAGCAAAAACCTCCATACTACACATAGTCATTTGATGCACTCTCCACCAACCAAAACTAATACTTAGTGTTAACTATAGACTCACCTGAAAGTGTCCAGAACCTTGAACAGAAAACATTAAGTAAACCATGCTGCTCTCGCAAAAGGCTCTATTTAGTTTTCGTTCATTACTTGGCATAGTAGACCATATACCCTTCTCTTGAGAAATATCAATGTTTTGCAGATTGCTACTCTTCATTATAAAGTACCGAACTGGCATATTTGGCCTTGGTGAAGGAGATTTTGAACCCTGGAAAAATTAAATTAAATTAAGCTATAACAAAATAAAGCAGGCTTTAGTTCTAAAATTTACACACATGAAGACAGAAATTCCTCAACTGCGCTCTTACCCTCCTCCCACAGTTCTACAACACAAAATCTATCAGCTGGCACCATCTGAATTTGTTTCTAAAATGTATTTCACACCCATTTTATATTTTTTAAGCTTTTAAAACTCTCCAAAATAATAATTCATTCATGAGGGGCAGCAAACAAGTATAGCAGAACAGGCCTAAATAGTCTAATGATTAATTATAATTCTTTGAAGTATGACACACCTTCAGATAACGCAGAATTAATCACTCTAGACTCTAGCCTGAAGCACAGGCTCACATTTCCACCTTCAGGAAATGTAAGTTTTTTCCCTTCTATATTGGCTGAATTTAAAAACTGAGAGACTTAAGAGGAATTATTAAATCTTCCAATGAGTCCATGCCTAGAGGTACAATGGGTTTTCCTCTCTGTGATCTGTTTAATATTACTGCAGTTTACTATTCAAGAAATAGGGAGAATTATGCCAATAGTATACAGGGAGAATTATGCCAATAACCTCACTAAAAATGTGCGCTTTGTTAAAATAACCTTCACAAAAAAAGCAAGCAGTCATTATAAAGCAGATAACACAAAACATAAAGAGAATCATTATTAATGTAGGCTATTACAGAAACAGAGGAAGGCAGAATCAAAAGAATTCAGAAGTGCATGTACTGTATACTAATTTAGAAGATAAAATAATACACCTTCAAGTTTTAAAAAAAAAAAAAAAATCCAATTTTTTCTGTTTTGGATAGCTTTACCTCAGCAGTCTGCAAAGAGTAATATTTTTATTAGACTAGTATTAAGGATATTTAGTCTAGATTTTATGTTCCAGAAAGAAATAAGTGCTATGCAGCTGTTAAAAATAAAAAATAAAAACCTAAATTAGGTTCTTAATTTATCACTGTAGTACCTGATAGATGCTGAAAGGTATCAGCAAATTTATTTCTGAAATTCTATTAATTTTGAAGAGTGGAGTAATTTGTTTATGAGAACTCTACCTTTCCAGATATTGGAGAAGAAGGACTAGCACAGGGGCTAGGATAGCTACTGCTGTTTGTAGACTTCATGGATGATTGATCTGACCTGTCATCTGAAGTTCGTTTGGAGTGCAAAATGTTTTTTTCTTTGTTTTTCTTTGGCTGGTGAAGTGCAGGAGGTGTAGATTTCACTAGAACTCTAAGAAGTGAAGGTAGATACAGGACAGACCAGGAATTTCACAAGAAGTCACACTATGATTTATATCTACATATCGGCCTATTGCATGACTATATATATTACAGTAACTCCAAAACATATTAAACACTAACTAAAAAAACACTGATCATGCATTGGTTTTGAATGCTAAAGTTTAAACCTCCTCTGCTACTTCTTCCCAGACATCACAATTCGTGGACAATATTCCTGACTGCTCTCTCAAAAGAGCAGGCACACATATGAAATACTTCTCAATGAAATCACAACTACAATGCAGCATAGGACAGTACAAATTCTTTCAACTGTATCTCTACTGTTTCTTCCTTTTTATTACTAGCAGAAATTCAAGTGAGGCTTTTATAGCTAAATAAATTACAACCTACAGTCTTCAGAATATCTCAAAAGCTTACTTTTCAGCATTAGAGGAGTCATCAGAGAGTTCAGTTTCTGCTGAGCTTTTTCTAGTGTTGGTTGACCTCCATGCAGATGCTAAAGGAAGTTCTTCAGAAGTCATAGGTCTCGGTCTCTGACCAATTCCTGAAGGCTGCTGCAAACCTGCAGACTGTTCTTCAGTACTTAAAACAGCTATAATTGCTCTTACAGTTGTTTCATCAACTTGAGACCATGGTTTAGAAGGAGCTCGCATACGACGCAGAAATAAGCTATGCCACTTCTGTCGGAGTTGAAACAGCAAACCAGCAGCCTGTAATAAATTTAAATTCTGTTAATGACTAGTAAAAATGAGATCAGACAGGTAAGGGTACCCTATGACTTCCCTATCAGGCAGCATCTGGCATTCTAAAATGAACTGGAAAGCAAGACTAAAGTGCTGGGGAAGGGGAAGAAACCCCACATTTAAACTAAGACATTATATTTTCTTTCCTTGGGTTCAAGATAATTTTTAAAACATTTTATTTAATTTAGTTCTGCACCAAACTTAAAATTATATTGTAAATGCAAAGGTTTCTTTATTTTTCATTTTTAAATTTTATCTTTATCACGTTTTATGCCCTTCCTCTCAATTCCACCTGTATTCATGCACTCTTCATTTATACCTGAGAGAAAACAGCTATAAGCGACATATTTTTCTTACACAGACTTCTGCTCAAATGAGATGACTGAATTCAGAAGACTACAGTCCAATTCCCATGTTTATCAGAAATGTATCCATTTAAAAAAAAAAAAAAATCACACTTTTCAACATCTCCAGAAGAGACAGTGTTATTGTTAAATCTGGTAAATCCGGGTATTTCATAACCTGTAAACTACCTCCTACCACAGCCATTGTTTCTCATTGACCTGAAGACTTCTATCTTCAAAAGGGTTTTTTTTTTCCCTTTTTCTAAAATCTGACAGTAGCTTTCTTTCCGGAACTCCAAGTGCTCCATTTTGATCTAACTTTAGTCATCCTCTCAGAGAAGGAAATACACAGTATGTCATTTTGACTGTTCACTCAACTCCAGCTCAGATTTTAGTTAATGCAGTTCATGCTAAGGTTTGATATGTGCTGGCAGCAGTGCCATTAGGTCAAAGCAAAAGCACCACATAGGCAGGACGGGTGGCCAGAAAGAGCTGAAGGGCCATTATGCAGCTACAATCACCTGCAGCTTGCTGTCTCCTGCAGCCGTTATCTTTTGTCTGTCAGTTTCATCAGAATCTGATAATTTATGGAAATGAACAAAACCTCCAAGCTGGAAGTATAAAACCTCAGCTTACCCAAAAAGCTTTGAAGCGGATCCAACAGCAGCTAGACTGCTGAGGCTTTCCTGCTTCCCAGTGTGATACAGGGGACACACACACCATGACACAGGAAGACATCTAAGCACTCTCGCCATCAGCTAGGTAACTAATTCTCTTTTTCTTTTTTGCTCATAGGTGCATGAAGTGAGTTACAGGTTATATGTTACTTTACAACTTGAATAGTGAATAAGTGAATGCACACAATAGACTAGTCTGGACAAAAGGGGATTAAGCCCCTGTTTGTTTGTTTTATTTCTTAATGAGCTCATGAAATAAAGGTTAAATCACAGAGTATGTTGTCCTATAAATCTGAGACACTGAAGTGGACCGTGACAGCCATTCTTACAGAAAATTCTTGGCTACCCAACTGTTTTTGAGAAATCTTTTTAAGAATACATGACATAAATATCCTTTTACAAGAAACATGCACTGAAGTGATACACTACTTACTTCAAGGTCCAGTCTGAGCTGGAGCCATTCATCTAGCTTCAGTAATGCCAAATTAGCAGTTGTTTTGTCCTCCATCTCACTATCACTGGTATCATTAGGTACCCCATCCCCTGAATTAAATATAAAAGGTACATTAACATTTCTATATGATTTAGACTTACATACAAAAAACCTAAACACTACTGCATTACCAGCAATAAACTAATTTTCCCCTAATTTTTTATTTTAAAATGTAAACATTTATAAAACCGCTTTTTATTTTCAGCAGAGACCTCAGCCAAGTCTTTGCTTCAGTTAGAACTCAAGTAGCTGTGTAAGCACCTGTATTGATGTGATCTGACTCACTCATATACCTTCAACATCAACAAGCCATTATCACACTTTTTCCTGAAGCTGTTTGAAAAAACACACATTTCTCCAGGCTTTATTTCCTAATAAAACAGCAAATCTAACGACTCATTAAGAAAAAAATAAATTATATATACATATGGCTATTAAGTAGGATTCTTTTTTTTTAAAAAAAGTGCCATTAAATCACCGTAAACACTATTTTAAGGGTAAGAGAAAGGAAAGCTTCAGAAATAAAGTGGATTCAAACTTGTATTTCTAGAGAACTGGCAGCAGAATAGATTATTTTAGCATCTATTCCTACAGCACTACATTTAAATTAAAAAAAATGAAATTTCTATATATTCCTTATTAGTACCAGCTAATAATATATCTAATAGTCATTAAAAGTTATCAGTAGAAACTAATCTTTAAAATGCATGCTTCAGCTGGAAGCCATATGACTATTTGCCATACTGATAGCTTCTATATTATTATTCGGTTTGAATAACCTAGTTCAAAGTAACAGATAACCTAGTCTGTAGAAAAAACATACATGATACACTTTTCAGCATTAACACTGTCATTAGACATTTCGTTTGCACTTTTTATTTCATTACAAACTACACTGTAATTTTTGAGACTTCAGAATTATTTAAGTGTAATTTATGGATATAAATCTATAAGGATTCACAAATTTGAGACATTTACTACAGAGCTTATAATCTATTTTTAGCCAATACACTTATTAAATGTTCTTGAAAAATAAGCCTCCCATATCACACACTTGTATATACCAATGGAACCATTCCAAATCCAAAACCCACTATACCTCGAAAGGATGAAGGTTCCTGCAAAGCATTATTTGGTAATCGAGCTGGTCCACAGAAGAGTGACACAGTGACAGGTGTTACAACAGAACAGCATCTGATATTTGCTATCCTGTGAGCTCTTGTCATTTCATCATATATAAGCCAGTTTGTAGGGAGTGCCTGAATGGCTGCAGCATGCCCATTTGCTGGGGGAATCTGTGCAAGAACAAATAAGACTAGGCTATTTTTCCCTCTATTTGTAATTGAAGTAAATTTTAACGTATTTCTTACTTTATATATGTAGAAATAAATAAATATTTATATACAAATAAGCTTATACACACAAATAAAAAAGCGAGAGAGAATTCAACCAGACTCACAAAATATTCTACCACCTTGAAACAAAATAGTTTGCTTTAAAAAAAGATCTAAAAAAAAAAAAATCCATTTCAGAGCAGAACTTTCTTCCTGCTATGATGAGCAGGAATTGTTACATCTTTAAAACAATTTCATATTTTTTTCTTTTTACCATTTTGTCTCATTCCACCAAGAAGGACTAACTGAAGTAAGTTTTGATGAAATAATGCTGAAAAAATAAACCCACTTCGATTCATTATTTTATCAACTGCCAGGAAAAATATTTTCCAAAAACATAGTGTTTAATGCAGATGCTGCTTCTAAAGTACTGTGAACTATGAAGAGACATTTCTAAAACATTTGATAAGAGTATACTGCTCTTTTTTGTGAGCTATAAATTTGAAGTAATTTTACCTTTTTATACTGAGGTTGACTAAGAACAGAGGTAGGATGAAATCGCACTTTCTTTTCCTTTGGTCCAGTCAAAACCAGGCTTTCTTTGTCTACATACACTAGATTGGGATACATCCCAGCCACTAAGGCAGCTTTAACTACAGCCCAGTTTTCAGAGTTAGTATTAACATCTCTAATATCAGTTCCTCCTCTGGCTCTAACAAAACCTGAAGAAAAAAGAGGACAAAAATGTGTTACATTTGCTTGTATTCAAGATCTATTTATTTGCTTCTCAAAAGGAATTTAAAAAAAAAAAAAAAAAAAAAGAACGAAACTGCAAATTTGTTGCATTTTTCATCACTACCAACCTTAACAGCACCAAGAAGAAACCATTATATTGAAATCCTTCCTGACAAGGGGTTTTATATTAACACAGAATAGAACTACTTTTTACAACACTAAGATATTTCCTATGGAAATAATATATTAAAACATAAAAAAATCAAGGAAACATATCTCACACTGGAAGCCAATGGCATGTCAAACTGTCTTGGTTTGGGCTGAAATAGTTAATATTCCCTTTCAGGGACTAGAAGAGTGCTGTGTTTTGGATTTAGCTTTGGGTTTGGTATGGGAAAATTGCTGATAGCACACTGGGGTTTTCAGCTGCTGCCGAGACTCCAAGGACTCTCCGACTCCCCATGTCCTGCCCGTGCGCCAGGGCACAGGGAGCAGGGAGGGAGCACGGCCACAGCACCTGACCCAAACTGGCCAGTGAAATATTCCATATCATGGAACGTCATGCTCACTGTATAGAGGAGGGGTGGCTGGGAAGGAGCTCTCTCTGTCTCACTTCCGGGATTGCGATTGTGGGATCTTGGTATCTCGGGGTCGCTGGCCGGGAACGGGCTGGGGATTGGTCAGCGGGTGGTGAGCAATTACGCTGTACATTGACTGTTTATATATTTCTTCTTCTTCCCTATCGACGTCATTGTTCTCGTTTTCTTGCCATTATTAACCTGTTCCTATCTCAGCCCGCAAGTCTCCCTTCACCCCTCTAATCCCCTCCCCCATTCCCAGGTGGGGAGGGGGAAGGGAGGGTGACCAGCTGCGGGGGTTGGTTGCCCATCAGGCCCAAACCACAACAAATATTTAGAAAAGGTATGCTGTCATCCTGGTAACTCAAGAGAGACACGGATCACAGCAACATGCTGGGGACTGGCCCATGCCTACCGAGCCCTGCTCACCAGTATACAGTGTCCTCAAAAAAAAGAGGTCTCTGGATCAGAGAACAAAACAACAAGCACTGCAGCCGCTCTGACACCCCCACCAGACACTGCCGCCACTCAAACTCTGGCAATAGACACTGCAGCTAATCCGACCCCTACAACAGGTACTGCGGGTGAACCAGAGAACCAACCCATGACTGTGTCAGTTGCCCCTGTACAGAAGAAAAAATATGCAAAAAAAACACCCCGCCTTGTAAAGGATGAGGATGAACCGGGGCCATCACAAGAACAGGAGGAGGAGGCAAAACCGGTGGTAGTCACCCGATCACTATCCCTGAGTGAGCTGCGAGACATGCGGAAGGATTTCAGCTGCCGTCCAGGTGAGCATCTCCTTACTTGGCTGCTCCGATGCTGGGATAGCAGGGCCAGCAGTGTGGAATTAGAGGGGAAGGAGACCAGGCAGCTGAGATCCCTGGTTAAGGAAGCGGGCATTGACAATGCCATTGGAAGAAAGACACAGACCCTCAGCCTTTGGAGGCGACTTCTGTCAGGCATGAGGGACAGATATCCCTTCAAGGAAGATCTTGTATGTCATTCAAGCAAGTGGACAACCATGGAGAGAGGCATCCAATACTTGAGGGAATTAGCCGTGCGGGAAATAGTTTATTTTGACCCAGATGATGCACAGCTACCCACAGACCCAGATGAAGTCCAATGCACCTGGCCCATGTGGTGGAATTTGGTACAGAGTGCTCCATCATCACATGCCAAGGTATTATCAGTAATGGACTGGAGAGACGAAGACGGACCAACTGTGGATGAGCTGGTGCGTCGACTCTGGCACTATGATGAAAGTCTCTCTCCCTCCATCATTGCAGCCGTGAAGGAACTAAAGGAACTATCCCGCCAACTCAGAGAGGATATGTCTTACTCTCAGCCTGCATGGACTAAAGTCTCAGCTATCAGGAGCAGACGGTTCCCTTCTCAAGAGACACAGTATACACCACGGAGAGACCTATGGTATTACCTGTGCGACCATGGAGAGGACATGAGGAAATGGGATAGGAAACCTACCTACCTTCTAAGACAGCGAGTTCAAGAGTTAGAAGGAAGAATGGCTAAAAATCAAGGTTCTTTCAGGAGAAACACTGCTCTAATCTCCAGTAAACAGTTGCCCCGACTGAGTAGGAGAGTTGACTTGGCTTCCGATCCTATGAGGAGGACTCCTGGTTCGTACTTACAAGAAGTAAGTAACCGAGATGAGCCTGAGACCCGCACAGACTACACTAACCCCTTCATCAACAATGGATACTAGAGGGGCCCTGCCTCCAGCCAGGGGGAGGAGAGGGACAACTGGGTTTACTGGACTGTGTGGATTCGATGGCCTGGCACATCTGACCCCCAGGAGTACAAGGCTCTGGTGGACACTGGTGCCCAGTGCACCCTAATGCCATCGAATTTTAAAGCAACAAAGACTATTTGTATTTCAGGAGTGACGGGGGGGTCTCAACAGCTGACTGTGTTGGAGGCTGAGGTGAGCCTAACTGGGAATGAGTGGCAAAAACATCCCATCGTGACTGGCCCAGAAGCCCCATGTATTCTTGGCATAGATTACCTCAGAAGAGGGTATTTCAAGGACCCAAAAGGCTACCGGTGGGCTTTTGGTATAGCTGCCTTGGAGACAGAGGAAATCAAACAACTGTCCACTCTGCCCAGTCTGTCAGAGGATCCTTCTGCTGTGGGGCTGCTGAGAGTTGAAGAACAACAGGTGCCAGTTGCTACTACAACTGTGCACCGCAGCAATATCGTACCAACAGAGGCTCTGTAGTTCCCATCCACCAACTGATTCGTCAACTCGAGAGCCAAGGGGTGATCAGCAAGACTCGCTCACCCTTTAACAGCCCCATATGGCCAGTGAGGAAGTCTAATGGAGAGTGGAGACAGACAGTGGACTATCGGGGCCTGAACGAAATTATGCCACCACTGAGTGCTGCTGTGCCAGACACGCTGCAGCTTCAGTATGAACTCGAGTCAAAGGCAGCCAAGTGGTACGCCACAACTGATGTTGCCAATGCCTTCTTCTCAATCCCTTTAGCACCAGAGTGCAAGCCACAGTTTGCTTTCACCTGGAGGGGTGTCCAATACACCTGGAATCGGCTGCCTCAGGGGTGGAAACACAGTCCCACTATTTGCCATGGACTGATCCACACTGCACTGGAACAGGGTGAAGCTCCGGAACACATACGATACATTGATGACATCGTTGTATGGAGAAATACAGCAGAAGTAGTTTTTGAGAAGGAGAAAAAATAGTGCAAATTCTTTTGAAAGCTGGCTTTGCCATAAAGCAGTGTAAAGTCAAGGGCCCTGCACAGGAGATTCAGTTTTTAGGAATCAAATGGCAAGATGGATGTTGTCAGATTCTGATGGATGTGATTAATAAAATAACCGCTATGTCCCCACCAACTAGCAGAAAGGAAACACAAGCTTTTCTAGCTGTTGTGGGTTTCTGGAGAATGCATATTCCAAATTACAGTCAGATTGTAAGCCCTCTCTATCAAGCGACCCGGAAGAAAAATGATTTTTTATGGGGCCCTGAGTAGCAGCAGGCCTTTGAACAAATTAAACACGAAATAGTTCATGCAGTAAGCCTTGGGCCGGTTCAGGCAGGACAAGATGTTAAAAATGTGCTCTACACTGCAGCCGGGGAGAATGGCCCTACCTGGAGTCTTTGGCAGAGGGCACCAGGGGAGACTCGGGGTCGACCGCTGGGATTCTGGAGTCGAGGATATAGAGGATCTGAAGCCCATTGTATGCCAACTGAAAAAGAGATACTGGCAGCATACGAAGGGGTTCAAGCTGCTTCAGAAGTGATTGGTACAGAAGCACAGCTCCTCTTGGCACCCCGACTGCCAGTACTGGGCTGGATGTTCAAAGGAGGGGTCCCCTCGACACATGCAACGGATGCTGTGTGCAGTAAGTGGATCGCACTCATCACACAGCGGGCTCGAATAGGGAGCCCCAGCCACCCAGGAATATTAGAAGTAATCACAAATTGGCCAGAAAACAAAGACTTTGGAATGTCACCAGAGGAAGAGGTGACCCGTACTGAGGAGGCACCACCATATAATGAACTACCAGATAATGAGAAGAGATATGCTTTGTTTACTGATGGGTCCTGCCGCATTGTAGGGAAACATCGGAAGTGGAAGGCTGCTGTGTGGAGCCCCACACGACGGGTCACAGAAGCTGCTGAAGGAGAAGGCGAATCCAGTCAGTTTGCAGAAGTGAAAGCCATCCAGCTGGCCCTAGATATTGCTGAGCGAGAAAAATGGCCAGTCCTTTACCTCTACACTGACTCATGGATGGTGGCAAATGCTCTGTGGGGGTGGCTGCAGCAGTGGAAACAAAGTGGCTGGCAGCGTAGAGGCAAACCCATCTGGGCTGCCAACTTATGGCAAGATATTGCTGCTCGGGTAGAGAACTTGTCTGTGAGAGTATGTCATGTAGATGCTCATGTACCCAAAAATCGAGCGACTGAAGAACATCGAAACAACCATCAAGTGGACCAAGCTGCTTAAATTAAGGTAGCTCAAGTGGATCTGGACTGGCAACAGAGGGGCAAAAAGTTTAGCTCGCTGGGCCCATGATGACTCAGGCCATCAAGGAAGAGATGTAACATATCAACGGGCTTGTGACCAAGGGGTGGACTTAACTATGGACATTATATCACAGGTTATCCATGAATGTGAGACCTGTGCTGCCATCAAGCAAGCTAAGAGGTTGAAACCTCTTTGGTATGGAGGGCGATGGTTAAAGTATAGATATGGGGAGGCCTGGCAGATTGATTACATCACGCTCCCACAAACTCGGCATTGTAAGCGTTATGTGCTCACAATGGTAGAAGCAACTACTGGATGGCTGGAAACATATGCTGTGCCCCATCCCCCTGCCCGGAACACTATTCTGGGACTTGTGAAACAAGTCCTGTGGTGACATGGTACCCCAGAAAGAATTGAGTCAGATAATGGCACTCATTTTTGAAATAATCTCATAAACACCTGGGCAAAAGAACATGGCATTGAGTGGATATATCACATTCCCTATTACACACCAGCCTCTGGGAAAATTAAGCGGTACAGTGGGCTACTAAAGACCATGCTGAGAGCAATGGGAGCTGGGACTTTTAAACACTGGGACACACATTTAGCAAAGGCCACCTGGTTAGTCAATACTAGAGGATCTACCAACCAGGCTGGCCCTGCCCAGTCCAACCTTCTGCGTACTGTAGACGGGGATAAAGTCCCAGTAGTGCACCTTAACAACATGCTAGGAAAGACTGTCCGTGTTATTCCCACTTCAGGTAAAGGTAAGCCCATCCGTGGAATTACCTTTGCACAAGGACCTGGGTGCACTTGGTGAGTAATGCAAAACAACAGGAAAGTCAGATGTGTGCCTCAAGGGGACTTAATGTTAGGTGAAAATAGCCAATAAATTAAACTGTATTAGGTCAATCACCAAACAGCCCTATCAATATATCGCTATGATTGACACATATTATATAATGGCATTGTATTCATGAAGGAACACATGAACTCAAAGTCAGGATTGGCTTCAGCAACCGATGCCCAGTGACTCCCATAGAACATGAATACAGAGGGCATCAGATGTATCAGCCACCCGTTCCAACTGTAACAGGGACTGCATGCCTTCCTCCTGCAAGGTCACCTGGTCACCTATTCCCTACTGACCAAGCATCACCCTTCCTGCCTTAAAAGACTATTATGACAGATGGAACCCAAAGTTATGAACCAAATGAACTTATGATACATTCTGCAGTGATGGCCCAGTGACTGAGGGAATGATGTCTGTGTGCACATGCCTAAAACCCAGGAGAAAGGATAATGCTCAATTAGACTGTATTGGGTAATATGGAACTTGAGCATAACGTAAATGATATGGAATAAGGGGTGGATACTGTCCTGGTTTGGGCTGAAATAGAGTTAATATTCCCTTTCAGGGACTAGATGAGTGCTGTGTTTTGGATTTAGCTTTGGGGTTGGTATGAGAAGAATGCTGATAGCACACTGGCGTTTTCAGCTGCTACCGAGACTCCAAGGACTCTCCGACTCCCCATGTCCTGCCCGTGCGCAAGGGCACAGGGAGCAGGGAGGGAGCATGGCCACAGCACCTGACCCTAACTGGCCAGTGAAATATTCCATATCATGGAACGTCATGCTCACTGTATAGAGGAGGGGTGGCTGGGAAGGGGCTCTCTCTCTCTTGCTTCCGGGATTGCGATTGTGGGATCTTGGTATCTCGGGGTCACTGGCCGGGAACGGGCTGGGGATTGGTCAGCGGGTGGTGAGCAATTACGCTGTACATTGACTGTTTATATATTTCTTCTTCTTCCCTATCATTGTCATTGTTCTCGTTTTATTGCCATTATTAAACTGTTCCTATCTCAGCCTGCGAACCTCCCTTCACCCCTCTAATTCCCTCCCCCATTCCCAGGTGGGGAGGGGGAAGGGAGGGTGACCAGCTGCGTTGTGGTTGGCTGCCAACCAGGCCCAAACCATGACACAAACAATCAAGGCATTTTCAGTTAGAATATCTGTTCCCCAGCCACACTTCCTCTAGCATGTGCACCATACCCAGCATGATTGTGTACTGGTCTGTTTCAAATTAAAGAAGGCAAATTATACCAGTGAACACTATTCTTGTTACAATTTGTATATACTTGTATTAGATATACACTTGACTCGAAAACTACATTCGAATTTTTTCCAAGCTATTTACCTGAGGCTCTAAGCTGGCCAAGCAACTGTGTTCGCATTCCTACGATGATTTCCATTGTGGCTTGAGACAGGAAGTTCTTTTCACAGAAGGTTCTCTCCCAGCCATCACTGCGTGCCTTCTGCCATGCCTGTAAAGAGTATTTGCTTAGACTTGCCTATTAATTCAACTAAAATTTAAAAAATGCACTTTTTTTTTTTTTAAATTACATTTATATCAATAAAGCAAGGCAAAAACCATTCTGAAAGAAATTAAATGTATCCAACAAGATCTTATTTTTTTGGTTAAATACTAAATTCTCTTTACCTATTCCCTAAATTAACATTATGATCATTATGTTATTATAAGATCATTTCTTTATAATAAAGTTCGTTATGTTAAGATCATTATTTTAAGGTATCAGTGTAGCGGAATACAAAGTAGCACCTTGTCAGAACATTCAGAATTAACCAGGTTTGAAAATATAAACAAAATATCTTAAAAAAAGTCTTCCCTCACAAATTCATGACTCCATTATACCGAGAAGCCACTTGGTAAAAACAAAGTTTCTCCTCTAAAGTTTCTTCACGGTCTATCAATTCTATATCCAACTTGACTGGTACATCATTTACTTTGATATATGATCTATTGTGATTAGTACTCTTTCTGAACATGAAATAATACCTGGAAAGCCCTGAGAAGCGCCATATGGTCACTAAATGATCCTGCAGTAAAACGTTTTCTACACAGCATGGCTGCACGCTTTTGAGAGGCCAGTGTAGGTAGGACAAAAGGGTCTCGATATGCAAGAGTGCAAGCAATAGTAAGAATAGGATCCAGGCACTTCAATACAACAGCACACAACACCATTTTACCAAGGTGTGGCTCTACTGGTAATTCAGTGAGATGGTAACCAAGTTCAGTGAGATCTTCCCAAGGGTCCATGGCATCTATTGTCTGTTTAAAAAAATTAAAAAAAAAAAATCACAATAAAAGCAGAAAGGATGTGAATACTGAACATTACCTAGACTTGTTCCTAAACACTAAAAAAGCAAGTCAAACTCTCAACAGTTTGAGACAATACTTTTAAGCACTCTTCCTGTAACATGGAAAAATACATACATACACACAAAATTAAAATAGACAACGCACAACAACTCAAACCATCATTAAGTAACTAAACAACAGTCTCAGAACAAACAAAACTCAGCAAAACATGCTGCCACATTACAAACACAGAATGAAATACAATTCCCATCTAAATCTATTCCTCTGCTGACCTTAAGCATCTGCACAGCATTTCTCACAATTAAAGCTGGTGGAGGATCAGGAGCTTTTGTAAGAAAGTCAACAATTGAACAATTACTTGGAGCCAGAAGTTTTGTGTGTAAACAAAGCTCCTGCAAGTTAAAAAGTAAAAAAGGATGGTTAATGTTGGGGCGGGGGCGAGTGGGGCAGAACAAACACTTTGTTGGAGTTAATAGTATGGTTGACAATAATACATTTTTTAAAAGTTATCATTTCTAGCTGAACATGCACCTGAAGTGGCATTCTTAGAAGTTCTGGAGTCTGATATTCCAGCATACTCTGAAATCGGAGCCTGCTGAAGAGACGAAAACAGACTCCAGGCTGACAGCGTCCAGCCCTAGAAAATAAAACATGGGAAGTTGTTGAAAATTTACTAAAAGAAAAAAACCCACACATTCACAAACTTAGAATGGAAATGCAGAAGCATGTCTAAGAAAAAGATAATTTTGTCCTTAAGTGTAAGTCCCACACATGAGGTGAGAGTGTTGCAGTACATGGATAATATTTGATAGTATGGAAATCTGTTATTATAATTTTACCCCAACACTGAAAGATCTGAAGAAACAAAAATAAGGCCTATCTGAAAATAAAATGATGTGGATTTTTTGCTAACCTAAGATCAATCCAAATCTCAACTGTTTTTTGCCGTAAGGAATATAAATCATAAACTTAATTTTTTCCTCTTCACATCCCACAAACAGTTGGAAGTTACTCTGGGAGTAAATGGTAGCATGAAGACTGAACAACTTGTGAGTGAGGGGACAGAGACAGAAAACACTCACATTCATGCTCAAATTCCTGCAGGTTAATGCCAATATCATAACACCAAAGATAGGCATTTGTTGCTACATATCCTCTTAGCCCTCACCCAGTGTTGGGAAGAATATGATAAAGGCCTGTTAAATCATGAATAGTTTGGAGAAGGTAAATAATGAGTCATGGCTCATTGTCTCTCCTAATATAGGGATGAAGGGACATCAATTAAAAGGTATCAACAGGCAGCCCTTTGCCCATAGGTAAGTTGTGAAACACCTTATTGGACACTGTGGCTGCTGGTGCTACCTGGGAGAAAGAGGAAGAACAAGTTCATGAAGGGAAACAACCTAGACCTAATGTAAGCTTTGGAAAATTCCAGAGCACCACTTTTCTACAACTTGGGAAATGACTCCAAGGAAATACATGCTGACCTTACTCTTGTGCAGAGAATTAGCGTTGGCCATTGGCCAACACAATACTGGACTAGGTTAGTAACATGACCCAGTGTGGCTGCTATTACACTGTGCACTTTACCCTTAACATATAGGATGGTGGATGTCTACAATATAAAATTCAGTATAAAGCATTTATTACCTGCCTTTTCTCTGGATAGCACTGGCTTTTGAAATCCACACCATTTTTAGCATAGTAACACAACTCAGTGCATCAAAAGACTTCTATAAAAGCAAAACAAGGAACATAAACCCAAGATTGAATAGCATACATGAAATAAAAGTTACTAACGATTTAGATCATCAACAGAAGTTCTCTTTAAAAAAAAAAAAAAAAAAAAAAAGCGCACCATCAGCTTCTGGCACAAAGGTATGTTCTAAATTGTGCTACACAGTTTTCTAAATTACAGTTTACCAGTCAATAGGTAATTGTAAGTCAATAAAAAACAGGGATTGCATTTTGTGGTATCACAAACCAAGCAAAAATTACATTGAATAACGTTTTCCTCTTTGTCTCACTTGGAAATTATGTCCTTATTTTCTTACATTTTGATGCAAAATTACAAAAAAATTATATCAAATTTCTGAAGTTCTTATAATAATACGTGTATCTCCTATGAAATCCAGTTTTACTTTCTAATCCATATACTTGGTCTTAAACTGCCTCATTATGTTATCTCACTTTTCTCGAACAAATAATTAGGGAATGTGCATTCAACATATCAAAAACAATGCTTAAAACTTAATGGATTAGACTCGGTCTAGATACAATTGTAGGACAAAGGAAACTCCCAGTGTTCTCAAAGTCTCATAAAGATAGTGGTCCGAACTGCTAGATTTATTTTAAAATCCAACAGAAATACTAAATCTAAAAAGCAAAAATATAGGTATATCAATATATCAACGGCAGTAGCTTTTACACAGTTTTTAAACAGCTAGCTGTTTACAGTATTTGTTGTAAAACAAACGTATGTCAAAACTTCTCAGTGAGTTTTGTTGCTTGACATAAACTAGCTTTCACCCTACTATAAAAAAAATAGTTCTCCAAAATTTATGTATTAAGTGTTTTCAAATAACACGAGAGAGTTTACTTCCCAAAGAAAGTTTAAGCCAATCATACCTCTTTCATCTTGCCTGAATCAATAACAAATACAACATCATTGACTGTTATGCTGGTTTCTGCAATATTAGTAGAAAGAATCTGCAATTAAAAAAAAAAAAAAAAACAAAACCTATAGTAATTGTAAAAGCAAAGACAAAATAGATAAATAGAATATCTGAGAAAGTCCTCTGATACTTGCTATTTTGCGGACGCCAGAAGGTGGACTTTTAAGTACCTTCTTCTGATCCAAAGTCTGCATATTTGAATGAAGCATGAAAACTTGATACCTAATGTAAGACAAAGAGCACATTTTAAGGATTTTTAAAAGAAATAATAAAAATTCAAGATAACCACAGAAACGAGAGGTTTTACCTTTGAGCATTATCAGCAAATCTCTTGTCATCAAAAAGAATACGGTCCCTCAGGCTAACTATCTCATCATATCCAGGAAGAAATATTAAAATCGCTCCTAGAGAAGAAGTTGGTTTGCAGAATTAAACAGAAAATTCACTTCAAATAAATGTCAACACTGCATATACTAGCACTCAGAAGGTTTTACCTCCTTGGTATTACTGAGAAGAGAGCACAATTCATCAGAAGGTGAATCCACAGCAATTTATTGGTGGTGTGTATGTATACCTACCAGAATCATAACTATGACAGATGTTATAAAGTAAGTGCATAATCAGGTCCAGATCCACTTTTTCATCATCAAAACTGTGATGATAAGCTTTCAACAGTTCTCTATCCTCTGCACTAAGGTCATTACCACTTGTTTGGACCAGGGAACTTTCATCCATATTTCCAAATTCCACTGAAGCACTACAATATACAAAACACAGGCCAGAGTGTTTGCCTTGGGTTTGCATTCAGCCATCAATTCTAATTTAGATCAAGACCAACATGACTACTCATCTCAAATTTTAATTTTAAAGAGTAGCAGAACAGCATCTCCACAATACTATTACTCTTCACCGATTTAAACGTTAACCCAGCAAAGCATGCAACTTCAATTTTAATCTTAACTTTATTACACCTCTTTGAAACACAGCCATAAGCAATTGTGACGGAACTTGAAGTATAGAAAACCATTTGTTTATCTGTTAAAGGCAAAACATTTAGAAGAAATATATTTTCCTAAACTCCCCTACTGTAATAGTCAACCAGGTACTACACTAACAGAAACTACACTAAGAGAAATAATAATAAGTCTCTGCAAAGCTGTAACTAAGCTATGATAACTACAAGGTAATCAAAAAACAATTCTTGAACGACTTAGTGTATGTGTTACTCATATAGTTTCTTTAATATGGCTATCATGTATCAACAATATACAGATAAAAAAACACAATCGATTTGTTTCCAAATAAGAATCTGAAATTAAAACGGTACATGGAACAGTACCAGCATCTCCTCTGTATATTTATTTAAGTTACTATAATCATATCCTGCCTAGATATATAATCATGATAGGAATGTCCATATCAAGGTGATAAACACTAATAGTGTAAAAGAAGTCCTACACCACTATATTTATGCTAGTTGTGCAAACATAATCACTATGATACTGAATACAAACAAGCTTCTTTTAAAACAACTGTGTTTTCAAAAATATTCCTATTCTCAAATAAATCTTGATATTTAGGCCAGATTTGAAAGCATAAAAAGTTAAAATCTGTTCTGATTAAAAGATGGCAAAACACAAATTTCCCTTCACCACGTTATACAACTGTTCTGCAAAGTAGTTTTAGCTTACCTGTAGGACTCCAACAGGTCAACAACCTCTGTCTGTCCAAAGCGCTTAGCCCAGTCCAAAGCCATCCTGAAAGAGTTGCATAAAAATCTTCATTATTTTCTCACTTCAAAAGATACTTATGAGTAGCACGTTATGTGAGGAGGCAACTGGCACTGTATTTTTCTAGCAATTTCTGCATTATTGTTTAATAAGCACTGTTATTGCTGGATCTGCAACTTTCCATTTTGAAGTGCATACACAGGTGTAATAGTTACACAATTTTTACATAACTGCAATCCTTTACCAAGAAAGAATCTCTGTTTTACACAGAAGTATATGCAAAGAGGCAGAAGGGAATGATGAGGGGTAATGTGCCATTCTTTCAAAAACCACACACCAACATGCAGAGATAAGTCATGCCCTTATGCAGTAGCCTTTACTAGCTCCTTCAAATCATCCCTAGAAGTCACACCCCAGACTTTTTTCTTCAAAATGTGTGAAAACATTGGGCCTTGTAATGTTTTAGGGAAGTTGCCCTCTTTACAACACATTTCACTCTGTCTTCCTTTTGAACTACATTCCTTCCCAAGTTTTCAAGTGACAGTACCAAATACCAGACCCCTGGAATCATAATTCTTATCTTTCCATATTACAATCATTTACTGTAGTTCCCTGTTTATATGAAGACATAATTCATGGCCACAGAAATCCGAAGTTTTACAGATTCACAAATATTTTTACATGACACAACATATTTACAGATATAACACAGCAAAGATCCTTCACCTGTTATACACTATTTTAAACCTGATATAAGTTACTCTCACGAAATAAGAACTGCCAAACATTTTGGGTCTAATTCAACCTACCCAGTGAGAAAGATGCCAATTTTCCTTTTAACCAGTGTTAAATCAGACTCACTGAAAACAACAGTGTGTATCCCATATTTGAGACTGTTTAATTAAGAATTCAGTTTAGAAATTACAGAAGACAATGTGATAAGCAGAGTAAGATATTGTTTAGACTCTCAAAACCTATTAGTGTTTACAGTAGTCTGGTAAGTTAGCAAATCAGTTGAGATGTTACAGAAATTTTTTTCTCATTTGTATATTGACAAATCTATCTTTTAGTTTATCTGTTTGTTTTTACCAGCCATTGGATGATTTGCAGTGGATACTTGCTCCCATACTGATCAGTTGTTCTACTTGACTCAGAAAGCCTCTCCCAGAAGCTATCATTAGTGCAGTTGCACTGGTTTCACTGTGCCTATAGTCAACTGAAAGTGAGAAAAAAAAAAAAAAAAAAAATCAGCAAAACCAGTAAAAACATTGTTATCTTTACATCTAAATGTATTATGAATGTGACTTCCAAAACCAAATCCAAAGAGAATTTTTTTCCTCACTTCATCCCACCAGTCAATCCATGTGAATTTAATGCTATTTTAGAAATATATTACATCTGTGAATACTTTGAAACAAGCACAACAACAAAGTACAAAACTCATTAATTCTGCTAACCCTATTCAATCTTCAATAGGCATCAGAATTCAAAAGGTAACAACATTTGAAATTGGAGATAAAGTAGCCACAGAAATTCAAGTAATTTTGTGGGGGTTTTTTCTTATACAATGAGAAACTTACCACTGACATTTTCAGTTAAAATGAGATGGAACACTTGAGCAAAGGAATCGATATCTTTATGCAACCAGATTTCAGAAAGACAAGAATCCATTTCTTTTATTAGCCATGGTTCAAGGCAATTCGCATCTTTTTCAGTCTGAAGAGAAAAAACAGGACTGAAAGATTAATCTATTCAAAGAGCTGTCCCTGAAGATGCTCAGGAATTTGAACAGTTAGTTTTCCAAGTAACAATCAGAAATACAGCATCCAGATACCAGTTAAAGCATTCATTGCACCATATGTAAGTACTTTAAACAATGGCATTCTTGCCATTTGATCTAAACAAAAGTTATGTACAGCCACCATAACTGAAAAGCACACTTTAGCTAGAGTAGTTCATGCTAATAAAAAAAAAAAAAAATTAAATATGTTAATATCCTTCTAGAAACTCTACAGGAGTAATATCTTTAGAAAACAGTTTTAAAATGGGTAGTAATAATATAGCGCAGATTTAAACATCTCTTCCAACAAAAGGGAAAACTTACCAGTTGATTAAATACTGTGTCACCACTATCATCAAACAGATTGTACTCCTCAGTTGTACTTGGGACAGATCTTTGTTTCCAAGACTCCAGGTTGCTATTATTTTCTTGAGCAGAACACCACTCAGTAAGAGTGCTTTGCTGTTTTTCTTCTAGAATGCATAAAGTATTTCCAAAAAAGTTACAGAATCATCTTAATTATCCATTGTTTTTAGTTACAGAAAATAGTTTTATCAAGTCACAGAGTTTTACCTATTCAATATTTTATTTATTCTAGAACAACGTTACCAATCCAATATAAATTCCTTGATTAAGAACAACATTGCAAACATCTACTCTAAGAACAAAGTAAAAAATACTATGTGGGTGCTGAATCCCCTAAGCCTCCAGTATTCCAACTTACTGCATTCAAATGAGGTTCCTAAGTATTTACTACACAATCAGTCCAGATCTTTCTCCAGAAGTGAAATACCAAAGAAAAGTGATGTAGCTCCTGCATGTAACAACTGATTTATGTGTATGAGAAACCAGTGCCTTAACTGAACTTTTCTGTCCAAAGTGATGAGAGCTAATGCCCTGGCTTCAGATGAGATGCAGCTAATTTTTTTCCTCCTTCTCAGTTGCTAGAATAGTGCTGTGTTTTGGATTCACTATGGGATTTGATATAAGAATGTTGATAATGTACTTATGTTTTTAGTTGTTGCTAAGAAATCAGGGGCTTTTTATCTTCTCATGTCCTGCCCATGAAGTTGGGAGGGAACAGAGCCAGAGCAAAGGACCCAAACTGGCCAACGGAATATTCCATATCATGTAACGTCATGCTCACTATATAGATGAGGGTTGGCCAGGAAGCTGTCTCTTTTCCTTACAGGATTGTGGTTTCAGGATTTTCTATTCTCTGGGATCACTAGCCAGGAACGGGATGGGCATCGGTCAGCAGGTGATGAGCAATCGCACTGTGCATTACTCGTTTGTATTTTCTAATATTATTAGCATTATTATGATTTTGTTGCAGTTACCTTAATGAAACAGTTTGAATCCTAGAATATTATTTTGATTTTAGTTTAAAAGTATGATTTTGATTTAACATGAAGCTACAGTAGCTATGAGAATATAAAGTACACTAAGGCCCTTAGGATTAAGCAACTAGTATGCTGCGTGCTTTGAACATCATAAGAATCGTCATGGACTCTGAATTAACGCAATGGGTACTGGTTATGGATCTTGACTTGAAACAATAGGTACCTGAGGAAAACTGGTTTGGTTGGGAAGATCGGCCAAGGGAGAGGTGAACATTAACTAAAGGTGGAGTGAGCATGCACAAGGATGGAGTTCAATCAGCGGACACAGTGATGAAGACTATCAATGACCACCAGAGACCCCCATCCAGTATAACCACGCATGCGTCGGAGACATTTGCATATGATAATAATTTCCAAGAAATAACATGAATATGCTAATCATTGCCCTCCCCCCATTCTATTTAAATCAATTAGTGAGGATGACCAATGATTTCTGCAGAATAGGAATATAGGTAAGGTGAGGTAACTAAAAGCCAATCATTATAAAGGTCAACTTAAACGTTATGGAATTATTGATCTTATGTAACTATGACTCTGCTGAAAAAGTGTATAAATATGTTGTGCTTTGTACCTATCGATGAACACGTCTTTGGCGGAGTTATCCCCCGTGTTCCCCAGCGCTGGAATAAAGAAGTGCCTGCTTATCTCCTTTGTGTAGATAAGTTCTATTCGCGATTGCGACCGCTAACAGTTTGATCTTATTTCAATTATTAATTTGCTTTTATCTCAACCTACGAGTCTTCTTACCCTTAAGCCCTCCAAGTCTCTCGCCCATGCCCGGGGGCTGGGGAAGAGTGAGCTAGCAGCTGCGTGGTGCTTGGCTGCCAACCAGGTTTAAACCATGACAGCTGAGCACCATGATAAGCATACAGTTAGAACTGTATGTCACAGCTTTAGCTTTTGCCTTTTCTTTTCTTTTTTAATACATACTGGGATCATTATTCTCAACTGTCAAGAAAACCTCTCAAATAATATATCTACTTAATCAATTGTGTTAGTGCTTCTGGGCTACATATATTAAAAATATCCATGTCTGAAGAATGCAGTGAAAAATGTTACCAGTAGGAACTACTTCTGTGCAAGATGTATAAAATCCTACCCTCTTTAATGGCTGCACTTCAAATTTTATCCAAAAGTCAGCACATAGTGCCTTCTGCTTCTATAGTTTTCGCATGGCCAAAGCTCCCAATTATATGCAATTCTACTCCATAATAATTTGGAAAAAAATAACATTTATCAACTGAAAGCAAAATGAACGCAACCATTGAAAGAAAGTGAAATTATATTTTTTTAAAGTTACATAATCTACTTCAATAACATAAACACTGAGAACTTAAAGATACTTGCTGTCATCTATTCACTTCTAATTTAATATTCTGACTTTCGAATTCTAACAGAGAATCATCCTATTTAGTTGTTCAATCAATCAGTTGGACTTATTGCAAACCCTAACAATTAAGAAGTCCACCAACCTCGCTGTTTCTCTTTCTTGTACTTTACCATTTCTTTGTTTGTATACCCAGTGCTTCGTAAAACATCCTCCAAAAACATATCTTTAACTTCAAAAGGTCTTCCTTGTACTGAAAGTATAAATAATTCATTAAATATTAGATAATTTATTAATTTATAACCTTAATTCTTTAAAAAAGCATTTTTGTAGACACAAAAAGTGAATTAAACATTATTAGGGTCTGATTTAAGGAACTATTACTTCTCTTGAAAAGTCTTGTTGGAGTACAGTCAAGTTTACTTTCTTAAGATTAGTGGGACATGAAAACAACATTTGGGTTACCTTGGGTACCTTGCTTCTCATTATCCTCTTCAATTCTATTAAGTGTTATAGCAAGAGATACTCATAAGACTGGCAGTTATTCATTGCAATTTTATCAAAATGAGATAAAGAAAATAGCCATTCTTGTTTAGGGTTACAAAAAGTAATTCATTGTGTAAGACTGCCACCTGGATTACAAAATATAACAGCAATTAATACAGCTTTAGTGCAAGATCCCACAAGCAGATTGCCACCTTCATATGAAAGTACCTTTTTTCGTGAAAAGTATATGAGGAGATGGACTTACCTCAGTTTTCTCAATGAATTCAACCAAATTTGGCTTTCTTTACTGAATACTTCATGATAAATGAGACATTCCAATGGCCTTTATCTCCTAATAATTTAGCCTGATTTATTTTTCAATATCACTGTATCTAGAGTTTATTTATGGACATTAAAGGATAATTTCCTTTAAAATCATGTGATTAAAACATGAAAAAACAATTTGCCTAGGACTGTATTTCTGAAGTGACCAGTTGCAGTTATCTGTGTTTTATCCAGTTACCAGTAGCAATCTCAGTGAGGCCAGAAGAAGTAGAATCTACTGGAATTAATTAATATATATCACACTCTTGTAGAACTTAGGGTCTGTATCACCACAGAGTTTGGCACTTTAAGAACCTTTTCCTGCTTCTTGAATTGATTATGGAGGGGGATAAAAACACCTCACTCTGAAGTAGGTGCAGAAACAAAAATGAACAAAGAAAGAACAGATGTTTCTGTACTACTCTGTTTTCATGTTGTTCCCTTTTTCAGAATGGTTCACTAAGTCCTAGGGCAGCTATATGCAGATTTAAAAGTTTACATAAATACTTACTGTGTATTACTGGGCAACTTCCAAAATACCTAATAAAGAGATCTGCATCTAGAGCAGCACTAGAAATAATTAGTTTTAAATTAGTCTGTTTTTGCAACACATCTCTCAGCTTTATTAACAAGAAGTCACTGAACCTATCCCTCTCATGTACTTCATCCTATAACAAAAGGAAAAAAAAAAAAAAAAACAAAAACCAACATATAAACATCACAGATCCAAGATCGTAACTGCTCACAAATACGAACTTTGTTAAAAACTGAAATATATAATTTGCTTGTACGCTACAGATGCATTAAAATGTTTAAGTCTAGTTTAAGGATTTTTTTCAAAACTGTCAAAAAATATTTAAAAAATTTTTATAAAGATACCAAACTGCACTGATAATGCCACATACACCTTGATTTCAGAGGTTAAAGTGAACTTCTGAAACTTTTCTAATTCTTATATTTTAATCTCATTTTCAAGTTAATGACACAAACTACAAATCTTATTTTAATAAATTCTCACTTCGTAACTGATGAACATTTAAAGAAATGTATGATACCACATAATCAGAAAAAAGTTAGATTGCTCAGCTCCATTAAGTCATGCACAAAGCTTATCATCAACTAAGGCATGTGTCTGATTAATCACCTTTGTTGGTGTGTCCTTCTGTTTCGTTTTATATCATGAACATATGAAGCAGAGACCCTAATAGAACATTTTTAGGCTGAAGTCAAAAGTGTATAAACCATTCTCACACTTTTTTCCATTTTGATAAACAGACAGGCACCTAAAATTATCACGAATTTTTCTGTTTTCAGTAGTGGAGAACTTAATCTTGCAGTAAACATTCTGGTTCCGCTGACTTATCAAGCTCCACAACAGGATTATTCACATAATCATAAATGAACACACTTAAATAATTTGCTCAAAATTAGACTACTCATTATCTTGAAAACCTTTGGGCAAACAAATGGAATGCAAATCTGGTATTGCTAAAACAAGTACATGATACAAGAAATTCTGACACACTCACACTGAATCCTATCTACATAAGCCTCCCTAAGGCTTTTCTACTTTCTGACAGAGGAAGTTTAGAAAACTTTAGAGCTCTGTCATCCACAAGTGCATCATGATTCCAAAATTAATTACTGGCATGAACCTAAAATAACACACTTCCACAAAAAAAAAACCAACCAAAAAAAAGTACATGTTACAAAACACTCAGTAGTCTTTAACTCAGATTCTAACCAAACAAAAAAAACTTAAACGCTCAGCAAATTAATAAAAACTAGGATCTCATCTTCCAATAAACAAATAGTACATACTGTTCCACCTCACATGAAATACAACAGGATTCTTACCACAATAATATGTGTCACAGTTGATAGAGTGCTGTCTCCTGCCATGAGCGTGCGAAGTAGTATGCCATTAGTGCAAAATGTTAACAGTGTCTTTGGAGAAACCCTATTGAACAGTTCATAAAGATATTTTAGGTTTTTGCACCATTTAAATACTGCTAGCTTTCCACTACTTATTGAAAATCAAAGGTTCTGCTCACCAGAAGTGGAATTAGTTCTCTCACCAGATAATTCATGCATACTGTTTATTTTTAAACTATGCCTCTTGTCAGAAAGTTCATAAGGAACCTTAGTGCTTATGTTCCAAAACTTCAAACAATGGATTAATTACCAAAGAGAGAATCAAATTTACATAAATAAATAAGCAAGTGAAAGAGAACTTTGGGAACCTCTCCATGTTTTTTTAATTTACTGGAAAATTCAGAAAAACGGGTTCCAATTCTTCTGCATATTCTTATATATAGTCTTTGTATTTGCCTCCATATGGTGGGCTGACCCTGGCTGGATGCCAGGTGCCCACTAAAGCTGCTCTGTCAGTCCCTCTCCTCAGCTGAACGGGGGAGAGAAAATACAATGAAAGGCTTGTGGGTCGAGATAAGGAAAGGGAGAGATCACTCAGCTATTACCATACCAGGCAAAACAGACAACTTGGGGAAATTTGTTTAATTTACTATCAATCAAATCATAAGAATGAAGAGGGAAGACATATGGAAAATTACAAATTGTCAGTAGCAGCAAGCTCTGTTTACAGGACTGTCTAATGTAATAATATTTTGTTTGTAGTTCTGCTTAGGAATCTGCCTAACAAAGGAATAAGGTACACTTTATCTATAATTAACAGGCTTGAGCCTTGAGCCTGTCTGCTTACATGATTTAGGAACACTCTTATTTAGGAAAAACAAGAAAATGGAAGAAGGATGCTGAAGATTACAGAACTACCAGATGCAATTGGTTTTGTGATCTCAGCTGTAAGGGAAAGGGGCAGACAGAACCAAGTTCACAGAAAGGACACTGTGATGAAGATGAGAATGATGAAGTAAATGACCACCGGGAGTCCTAGAAGACCACCTAGAGACTTTAGTGCGCATGCAGAAGTAGGCAGCAACATATTATGCTTTCTTGGAAAAGTAACGAATATTGTAATTAGTTCTTGGAAATTACATGCATAGGTAAGTGAACTGTGTATAAATATCATAAACTCCACTACAGTGGTATGCATATTAGGAGGAATGATCCCCTATGCGTCCAACGTGTCGAATACAGAATACCTGCTTAATAGCTATTACAGCTATTGAGACTGAATTCCCGGCTTCAGTAGGATAATGAGAAACAAAACCAAATCTTAAAACACTTTTCTCCCAACCCACCCTTCTTCCCAGGCTTAACTTTACTGTTGATTTTCTCTACCTCCTCCCTCTGAGCAACGCAGGGAGGACGGGGAATGAGGGTTGCAGTCAGTTCATCATCCATTGTTTCTGTCGCTCCTTCCTCCTCAGGGGGAGGACTCTTCACACTCTTCCCTTGCTCCCATGTGAGGTCTCTCCCACAGGAGACAGTCCTCCATGAACTTATCCAACACAAGTCCTTTACACAGGCTCCAGCTCTTCACAAACTTGTCCAGCACATGTCCCTTCCACAGGGTGCAGTCCCTCAGGAGCAGACTGCTCCAGCGTGGGTCCCCCACGGGGTCACGAGTCCTGCCAGCAAACCTGCTCCCGCGTGGGCTCCTCTCTCCACAGGTCCACGGGCCCCGTCAGGACCCTGCTCCAGCACAGGCTTCCCGTGGGGTCACAGCCTCCTTCGGGTGCAGCCACCTGCTCCAGCGTGGGGTCCTCCGTGGGCTTCGGGTGGAGACCTGCTCCCCCCTGGACCTCCGTGGGTGCAGGGCACAGCCTGCCTCACCGTGGGCTGCACCACGGGCTGCCCGGGAATCTCTGCTCCGGCACCTGGAGCACCTCCTCCCCTCCTGCTCCCCTCACCTTGGTGTCTGCAGGGCTGTTTCTCTCACGTATTCTCACTCCTCTTACAGCTGCTGTTGCGCAGCAGTTTTTGCCCCCTTCTTAAATATCTTATCACAGAGGCACTACCACTGTCACTGATGTGCTCGGCCTTGGCCAGCAGCAGGTCTGTCTTGGAGCTGGCTGGTGTTGGCATTGTAATTGACCAAATCATGAAGAAATCATCTGATCCTTTTCAAATTCTCTAATTTTTCTCTTCAAGAATTTAAACACCTTTAAACATTACTATTCTAGTACCTGTGGCAGAGTTACTGTGCAAGTAAAAACAGCAATTGCCACTACCTTCTCCAGCACTGCCACCTTAAATACTGAGATCGTACTCTACACTTCTTTTCTAGAAGACATGAGCTCACTGGTTATCCTATGTATATTCCTTTTCAAGTTTAGAATTCATCCCTCCTTTTAAAAATCCTCCTACCTATTAAATTCAAGGAACACATTTAGGACAGAAATGCTCTACTACACCCATGTCTACTGTTCTCTCTTCTTCAGCAGGCTTCTAGAAATCGCTGCTGTCTAATAGTTAATAAAGTTTAAAAAATTAGACTCATGTGTTTCTGTAGGCACCCCCTTCCCGCATCTTTTTTGCCCAGAGTGGGAAATACTGCAATTCCTCTCTTTTGTTCTTTCTCCAAGTGGATCTATTCTTTCTTCTTAAGCAGGATTTTCTACGCTGTGCTGCTTCCAGTAATTCTTCCATTTTGACCTGACCTATACTTTGTTCTTCTTCAACCAGCCTAATACTTCCACACATTAATCATCCACCTTATTTGCAATTCATCTTTATTAGCTCTTTTAATCCCTTAGTAGCCTTGTGAGCTTTTGTACACATATTCAAGTTCTTTAACTTGGCTTTGTTGTTCAAGCGCATTCATTTTCATTAGCTATGTGGTATCTTCATCCATATAAACAACATAACCAGCTATAACTTTTGTCATCTTCTTCTCACTCATATCCCAACTGCTGCCCATTCTTGGAAATCCTACTATTTACACAGTTCAAAGAATCTAGAAAAGGCATACAATCTTCAGACATTCATGAATTCCTGCTCTGCTTTTGGAACAAATTCCTCAAATGAACTAGGAATCCCTAATTTTGTACCACTTCATGCTTTAAACATATAAACTGAAACAGAGTAAATTTAACCCAATCTAGATGGGTAAATAATGCTCAACTTCATCCTTCACTTTCAAATTTTGCTTTTTTTCCTTTTATGTTCCCTATCAACTCTCATTATATAGCATGTTAGAGCATGCTTGTCTTCCTGCCTATCTTCAAAGCTTGCAGAACTTCTGGATCTATACATGATAAAAAGGAGTGAAAAAAAGAAGAAATGAAAGCATAGACTTGATCTGAAAATAAGACAAGGAATTCCACACACACACACAAAGAGAAATGAAGGGAAAGCACCTGCAATTCACTTATGTAAGACAACTTACCACATGAAACTGCGAAATACAGGAGGAAAACTGTCCTTTTAACTCTTAAATATTCTACTACCTGGAATAGCATACCCTACCTATACTTTACATGTTGAGTTTTTACTGGGCTGTATTCCAGATGTAGTATAGTTTAAATGTACACAAGATAAAGATACCAACACAAGATCAATTAACTTTAAGAAATAACATTAGTACCTGCTTTCTAATCGGATCTGATAACCAACTGTCTGGCCAATTTTTTCTCTTCTTTCTGCTGCCACTCTTTCAGCCACCGCAACAGCTGCTAAACGTCTTGGCTGAGTGCAAAACACACGACAAGGAGTTCCATTTTTGTAACAGTCGTCAAGAAGGAACTGAGGGATCTGTAAAGAAGTGGTTTAAATGCACTTTTTAGTTTGATAAAAGTCATAGCTTTTTCAGATTATCATTGCAAATGTACCTGAAGGGGCAGAAAGGCAGCATAAATAAATTTCTGATTTTAAGCTTAATCTGTTCCAAAAAAAAAAGTTGAACCTTCTCTCTCCTGCTTCAGAGAAATCTATTAAAAAAATACCTGTACGTAATCTTTCACTTTAACACAGTAATATTCTACTCTAGATACTATGAACAAAACTAGCTTTAGAAGGAAAAGGGCTATATAAAATCATAGCAATGTTCTCTTCAATATTTTATATTATTTTAAGGAAAAACTAGTATCTACCAGAAAAATGCGCAGAACCAGTTATGCTTTCTGTAAGTATCTGCTGGTTTAGTATTTTAAAAGCAAGAAAGTGAATTAGAACACAAGACTTTCAACTATATTGGAAAACAAAAGCCTTAAAACTAGCATAAAGAAATCCCTTACTACATAAATATTACAAAATTGTCATTAGTTTTGTATAAATACCATTATCTTTTTTACTTCATTAAAGAAACTTACTTGAGTAGTTTTTCCTGACCCAGTCTCTCCTACAATCAACACAACTTTATTGTCCTTTATTATTTTGACAATTTCTTCCCGTTTTTCAAAAACTGGTAGTGATTGCCTGAAGGAGTCAAACTCTGATTCCCCTCTTTTCACTGGAACCTGAGGGATACCATTGTTAAGTCGTCCACTTGTCTTGTTCACTTCTCTGTTCTCTGTGAAGAGAAGTTAACAATTTACTTAGACACAAAAGAAGGTCACTAAAACATTGTTTAAAAATTGTACATAAAAATGAACATTTCTGACTTTACATGCATCCCCGTAGATAAAATGACAAGCCCATCACACATTTAAAAGCCATATTCATAGAAATGCATCCTGTTGCAGTGCTTGAAATAAATATTGTTCAAAGGAGTTATTACTTTCGTAGATATTTTGAATAGACTGTTCCAGTGCATTGCTCAAAGTCAAAAAAGGTCACGAAAAGCGAAACAGAAATACTAATTAAACCCAAGAAAAGCAGCCTGGCATATTTTCTTGGCCTTTGTATCATGCTTACACATTTACACCTCCACAGTTTGCCCAGAAATATTCACTGTATAGTTAAACCTTAAAGTTATTCCTAACTGACAGGCATGTCTGATGAGAAGATTACTGTGACTCATATGCCTTTTTATTCTTCCTGGTCTTTCACAACCTCCTTTCAGTCAGTCTTACACAACCTAATGCTCTAGTCTGCAAGATTTGTCTTAAATCACACAGATTGAACCATGTTGTAGCTAGATCCCTGGACTCACACAGCACAGTCTCATGTGCAAAAAAGCAAAGCCAAAGACCCTGGACATCTTCAGAGGAGACTCCTTCAAATTCAGTATTGTAAATCCTACTCTATAATTCCTTAGTAATTCTTTTCCAGAAAAATTAAAAGCTTGCTGTATATTCAATTATATATATTTAATGTGATTAACAGATTAATATACTCAATTATAAACACTGTTTTACCAAGACAGACACAGGCTAACAGATTAAAAGAGCCAAAGAACATTACAGAGAAGTAAAGAAAGATAAATTTTACCCTATTCATTAGTTCATGCCTTACATTCCTAAGGAATTGCTTTTGTTATAGTTTCCCTCCATCTGTTCATTAAACAATCCTATTAAACAACTGAAAAAGAAAACTAACAAAGAAAGCACGTAAAATATAAACCATCATAAATCAGAAATATACAGTGAAACAAGGCTTACTGGTACAAGTGTTTTCTGTGCACTACACCCAGCTTTCACACATAAACACAAAATAACTCTTTACACTTGTAACTATTAAAAAAAATAATCTTGTTAAAAGCACTGTTTAAAAAACCGCATAATATATCAGAAGTTCGTCTTCCAGTCAACGCTCTCATATTCTAGAAATCAGTAAGTCTAAGTAGTCTCTTAGGGAAGGAATCTATTTTAGAAGACAACAAAACAAAAAATAAACTTATTTATCAAGAATATAAATCTCTATTAAGAACAGTCAGCCTAATTTTCTCATAAAGGTGTTCTTATATGGCAGTCATGGTAACACTTCTCTCTTTAATCTCACCTCATGGAACTTGTAGAAACTCACATTTCAGAAATATACTTCCAAATAAATTTAGTTGGAACTGGCTCAAATATACAGAAGTTGGCACAAGGTAGACCTGACTGCCTAAGTTCCTCATGACACCAGTTTTAAAAGACCCTACATTAACAATTAAAAGTTAAGAAAATTAATGTGTGTGTTTGAGGGGAGGATGTCAGTTGGGACAGGGGAGGAGACAGAAAATAAAGGGTTTTGTTTTGTGTTTGGGTTGTTTGGTTTCTTTTAAACAGTGTTGATTCGCAAGTTCGTATCAGATGACACACTGAACATACCAGGTTCAATACACACATTTCCTCGCTCGGTCTTTGGCAGAAGTTCTGTTTGTTCTTTATTTGTGACAGGAAAAGTTCGAATTAAACTCCGAATGGCATGCTTTGTACTGGGAGCCAAGCAACAAGTCATTACTGCACGTGTTAGTTCTGATCCATCCTTCTTCCGTACAGTCAGGTATCGATTTGTTCCTTTTCTGGGTGGGGGGGAAAAAAGTATTTCAGGAATAAGTAACCTATTTATCTCTGTGTAACAATCTTTGATCATAATTCTTTCAGGATGGCTGTCAGATTATTTTCAAATATAATGCCATAAATAGAAACTTCCCAATAATGTCCTGTGTTACATAATGCACACAAAAATAACAGAAGTATCCACAATACCCACCATCAAAACCACCCTTTATTCACACACAGGAGTGCAGCACAGGACCTGCAGACTTTCGATGACAACATTCAGCACAACCTCACAATTAGGCCTCCATAATGTAACGCTGTTCTGCTACCTTTCTGTTAAAGTTTTATCACTGCATTTGCTTCCCAAAAGACAGCCAGCTCCATCAAACCTCTCAGTATTGATTGATGGAGCGAATCACACAAAACTGTTTCCTAGACTAATTTAAGAGATTCAGGGGTTAAAAATCAATAAATACATGTAACAGAGAAACAAGCAGCCTTCTAGTGATATTCCAAGCCTTAATGAACTCCAGCAGAACTAATCAGATTCCCAGGATGTTCATTATCAAACATTCAAAATGGAGAATTAGAGCCAAAACACTTAATCATAACACTCCATTTGTTCTCAGACTGAACTCTGAAACTGAAATACACAGAACCACTGTAAATATAATCGAAACTGAACTATCTGGTGCCTGGGCTACAATAACATGTCAACACTTTGAAAATTATTTCCCAGGGTAAGAAGGTCACATGACAAATCCAGTGCCCTGTCCCTGGCAGGAGTGGTGTAGCGGTGCGTGTGTGCAGGGTGCAGGTACCTAGGTGCTGGCAGGGGCAAGCCTCCATGAGGAGAAGCTGGGGCTGCCCCATGCCAGACGCAGCTGGCTCCACAGGGCACAGCTGAGCCCCTCAGCCGTGATAGTGGCGACTGTGCAGCGTGGACTCTGTAATAACACATTTAAGAAAGGGAAAAAACACTGCACTGGAGCTGTGAGAGAAAGGAGAAAAATGTGGGAGAAACGGCCTTGCAGACACTAGGATCAGTGAAGAAGGAGGGGAAGGAGGGGGAGGAGGTGTTCCAAGTGCTGGAGGAGAGACTCCCCTGAAGCCCACAGAAGAGACCTCAGTGGAGCAGGTTTATCCTGAAGGAACTTCAGCCTGTGCAGGAGACTCCATGCTATTTTCTCCCCATGTCCTGTTGAGGAAAGTGAGAGGCAGACCAAGCTGGCTGGGGACCTGGCTTGGATGCTTTCTAAGTTGTTGGCTTGGATTCAGCTCCTGGTCAATGCAAGATAGCATTTCAGAATAGCAAAAATACTGAAGCTGAAACAGTATTTGAATATGCATGTCCAGGGAAAGGTTTGCAGAATTGGAAAAACAAACTACAATGCTTCACATGACTATGCTCCCAGTCTTCAGTAGTTTATATCTCAGCAGCTTAGAACCACAGAACCATTGAGATTGTAAGGGACCTCTGGAGGTCATCTGGTCCAAACCCCTGCTCAAGCAAGGTCACATAGAGCCAGGTGCCAAGGACAATCTCTAGATGGCTTTTGAGTACCTCCAAGGAGGGAGACTCCACCACCTCTCTGGGCAACCTGTGCCAGTACGTGGTCACCCTCACAGTGAAATACTGTTTCCTGGTATTCAGAGGGAACCTCCTGTGTTTCAGTGTGTGCCCATTGCCTCTGGTCCTGTCACTGAGCAGCACTGAAAAAAGCCTGTCTCTGTACTCTCTGTATCCTCCCTTGAGGTATTTATATCCCCCTCTGAGGCTTCTCTTCTTCAGGCTGAACAGTCCCAGCTCTCTCAGCCTTTCCTCATAGGAGAGATGCTCCAGTCCCTTCATCATCTTGGTGGCCATTTGTGGAACTCTCTCCAGTGTGTCCACATCTGTCTTGTTCTGGGGAACCTAGCACTGGACAGAGCACTCCAGGTGTGGCATCACCAGCGGTGAGTAAAGGGTAGTCAAAAAAAGATACAGTTTATGTCTTCCCAGGTGCATACTCCCTTTTTCTCAGCTGTTTAAATTTCAGTTCAACTATCCTCCAAGCTAAAAAGGGGTACACTGCTCTGGTGCAGCCCCAACTCAAGTACTGTGTGCAGTTTATATATAAGAAGAACGTCAAATTTTTGGAGTGTGTCCAGAGGAGAGTGACCAAGCTGGTGAAAGGCCTCGAGGGCAGGACTTACAAGCAGTGGCTGAGGTCACTTGGCTTGTTCAGCTTGGAGAAGAGAAGGCTGAGGGTGACCTCATCGCAGCCTACAACTTCCTACAGGTGGGCAGTGGAGGGGAAGGTGCTGATCTCCTCTCTCTGGTGACCAGCTGTAGGACACAAATGGAGTGAAGCTGTGTCAGGAAGTTCAGACTGGACATGAAGAAAAGGCTCTTCACTGAGAGGGGGGTTGGTCACTGGAACAGGCTCCCCAGGGAAGTGGTCAAGGCACCAAGCCTGCCAGAGTTCCAGGAGTGTCTGGACAATGCTCTTAGTCATATAGTTTAGTTTTAGGCTGACATTTGAGCACGGAGTTGGACTTTTTAAATTCTTTTCTCTAGTATTACTCCCTGCAATAGTGCAGGATATGCTAGAAACAGCAGTCACTTTAAGACATCATGAAACCCTGCACATTTGCACCAAAAAAAGAAAACAACAAATAAATATTGGACTCCCAACTTACCCTTTACTTTTAGATATCAGTCCAAGAGACTGACAGAGCCGGTGAACAAATGCTCTTTCAGTACTAGTGAAAGAAGAAGGAAATTCCATTTCTAGAAAGACAATTTAAAAAGCAAACTTAATAATTTAACACACAGTATTTTTGACATATAATCTCGATGTTCCGAGTTGTTCTGCCCTCAAACCTATCACATCCTCCCGTCAGCAACGGGACTAATGGCAGCGCTCTTACCTTCCTCTCTGCAAGCAATGCAGGGTTCGCAAGCAAGCCAGCTTTTTCGGGCAGAAAGAGGCTAAGGAGAGGCTTCTACCGGTGAACCGGGGAAGAGCCTCCGGGCCTTGAAGTCTGTCACCCCCACCCCGTGCCCCGCCGGCCCAGGCCAGGCGCCCACAGCCGCACCGGCTCCCCGCAGCCCAGAGCCCGCCCGGGAACACCTGCCGGGCCGGACGCCCTCACGCTCCTTCCTCCCCCGCGGCCGGGCTACCGCCACGCACCTTTCTCCTCTCCATATCGGAACCGCTCCAGGGCGAGGCTCACCGCGATCTCCACCTCCTCATCGACGCGGACATCCATTAGCCCTTTGCGGCGGCCCGCCGCGGGGCTGGCGGAGCCGACCGCAGCGAGGTTCCCGGAGCTCCCCGAGCCCCCGCCGGGCTTCCGCGGGCAGACGCTGCTGGGCTGCGACATGGCTCCGCCACGGGGGAGTTTCGCAGGGACGCCGCGGGAAGCTACATGCGGCGGGGACACGGAGGAGGGAGACCGGGTCTGCGCAGCGCCGTGACGCCAGCGCGACGAGCCGGGCGAGCGGGAGGGGCCGCCTGACAGCCGCCCGGTTCCTGCCCGGCGGTGGCTCCGCCCACGGGGCGCTGAGGGGGAAGCGGGAGCCGGGGGCCGCGGCGCAGGCGCAGGGGCGGGCCGGGCCGGGCAGAGCGCCCGCGCTCGGCCGCCGCCGCAGCCCCAGCCCCCTCCTCAGGGTCGGCCGTTGGCCGCCTCTGCCTCTTCCGGGCCGGCCGTTAACCGCCTCTTCCGTGGCGGCGGCGTGGTTCCCCCTCGAGGCCCCGAGAGACGGCTGCCTCGTGGTTCACACTCGGACTTCTGAGGCGGAGGCCCTCAGGGCGGGAGGCGCCGAATTCCCGGCCCAAGGAGCTGGAGGTTATATTACGTCACGCACTCCTTTGAGGCAGTTAGCACAAGTAAACGGGGCAGAAGGTGTGGCGTGCTGCCACCACTGTACTTTTGGTGAGAGTGAAAGCCGAGTAATGAAACCTACCTTCCTCAAGTGAGAGAGGTGGCAAAAGTGCCCCCTGCTGATGTTTTAAGTGCAGTTAACGGCGGGGTGGTGCACGCCCCAAACTGGTGTCAACCAAAAAAGTTGTATTATAAATAGAAGGAAAATGGTGTTTTTTTCATTAGGCTGCTGAAGTGGATATCACTGAAATAGTGTACAATTGGCAGTGAATAAAAAAGTAGCACTGACATCTGTCTGGTCATAAACTATGCAATGTAACTGAATGAGTGTAGGTGGCTAAGATCAATGCAATCCTCAGCCTCTTCACTGTAAAGTATTATTTGCCCTCGATTTTATAAAATGCAAGTAGTCTTTCAAGGTGGCACTCCAAGGGGATGTTGTTTAGCCAATTAGCGTTTGGGGGGTTTGTTGGTGTCTTGAGTGTTCTTTATATCAGTAAATAACCCTTTGGCACAAATGACCATCTTTTCCTGCAGTCCTTTGACTCCACACTGAGGATGTGAAAAAAAACCACTCTTGGACCCGACACAGGATTAACTATTGAAGGCTGCTACTTTGGAAACATCATTCAGTCAGAAGGAGAATACTTCGAAGAACATTAGAAAACTATTTCTCACGTGTCAACTTAAGTGGAGAACTAAATAAATAGCATATAAACACTGACTGTCTGATGAAGCTGCATGAAAAATATCTCAGGAGACTTCTACCAGAGCTGTATTCAAAGCTCACTTCAGCATAATTCTGCACTAAGAAGTGGCACTGGAGCTGAAGGTTTGCTGTGTTGTAAGGCTGCTTTTAACACGTTCTCAGTTTTTTAATCCTTCCTATACATCTTCAACCAAAGTACTAAATGCTGTTTCCTTACAGCTCTTTCTATGACATTCAGTACTGTCACGTTAGAGCACATCACATTTATTATGAAAAAATAAACTCTTTAGCTGAACATGATAAGGATTCCTCTTTTTTTCCTTAGTATCAACGGTAATAAACGGGAGATTATAACTCATTTGAAAGTCACATCAGAAATCTTTAATTATGAACCCAGATCTGTTATCAATTTCTGTGTATATCATCTTGCCTTCCTACAAAAAAGCGTGTGATTCTGCAAAATTACTCCTCAGGCCCTATTCCGATCTCAGTTTGCAATCTTCTATATACAAGACCTCACAGAGAAAATAACTAGCTGTTACATCTCATCTATATAGTTAAGAGCACGATGAAGCCTGAGTGCATCCTGCATAACAAATTTCTTAATACACAGCTCGCTTCTTTAATTGCTGTGTTGACTTGTCAATGCTATTAAGTGTGAAAAAACAGCAAAGTGTAGTCATTCAAATAAAAAGGCATGACTCAAAGCACACAGTGAGGATACACATGGAGAAAGAATCATTTTCACATACCCCTGCTGGAAAATAAGGCTGCAGCCTGAATTCACAGGTAATGTAACTCTCTTGGTAGCATTACACTAGAGGTTAATCTGTCTCCAGGAGTTTAAGACAGGAACTCTTAAAATATTAGTGAAATAAAGGTAAACCTGATTGATTAAACTATTAGTGTTTGAGTTTAACACATTGTAAACATGATCAGAGTGCTGGCACACTGAGCATGACTTAAACTATCTGCTTGCTATAGATTCTCACGATAAATATACATTTTAAAACCCCCAAACAGCTGATAAAGCATCCTCCCCAAACTGCTGGTACAAATTAGAGGAGTCAGCATTTAGGTAATAAAATCTACCGAACACAGAGTAGTTCCATGCTACACTGAAGCAGGAGGAAGATTCTCATGATAAAGAGTTGTCACCCACATACTTTGTGCTGTGACAAGTGCTGCGCCCTGCTAACCAGTTGACTGCAATCTGCACTGAGTGTACAAAAAAAAATAAAGAAAGATGGCGTTGTGCCTTAAACCCACATCTTGGAGCAGCTGTGCAAACTGGTCTCCTGTTTTGGTGAATTTAATTCCAAACACACTAAGGGGCATTCTGGACCACCTTTGAGGTTATCCTCCAGCTCTGGCTGGCCTGTGTGCAGGCAACAGCCCTGGGAAGGAGGAACAGCAACATACTCTCTGGAGAACATGGGATCCAAATCTGCTGTTTTGGTTTGAGCTCAGAGGGCAACTGAGTGCCACACAGCCGCTCACTCCACCCTTTCCCCTTCACTGGGAAGGAGAAAATAAGAGGGGAATCAGGATTTGAGATGGGGA